CGTCCAAGGGAAGTAGCTTGTAGATTATGGGATGCCGTCAAAGTGCAGAAAGAGAAGAAAATAGAATGAAAAGATCTGCATGCATTCCATATAGGACAGGTGTTATACAAAGTCAAAAAGAAAAAAAAAAAGAAACGCCACACCAAACCGCTTTATAAGACAAAAATCCCAGAACCAAAATGAGGTTCGAATAGAAAAGTTGGGATAGCCCAGTGCACCAGATGAATGAAACTGGAAGCTATCCAGCACGGGAAACTGCGGTTCACGCACTCTCATGCAGTGGACAAAGTACTTGTCTGGATTGATTGTGCACGGGATGATGCAACCGTTTGGGCCTTAGCCTTCTCACCTTCAGGCTCTTCTTCATCCTCGTAGTACAGATACTCGTCATCCTCTTCGTCGGATTGTCCGAATATATTCCTCCAAACGCCATCCCAGAGACCCTTCTTGGTAACTAGGCCGCCGACCAGGAGAATAGGCAGTTGCCAGATACTGGCCCAGAAAAGGCCACGCGCAGTGCCGTTCGCACCCTGATGTTGCCAGAAGTAGTATGCCTTATGGACCAACCAGCCATTGGCGACACTACTACCGACAAGGAAACCACTCCCAACGACATTAACCCACCAGAGGCCAATGGAGATGGGGAACATCAGAAGAGAGTATCGCAGAGCAACCCGAGCACTGCGAGCTGGGTTCACCCAGCATAACATCCTGTAGCCGGCAGCTTTATACTCATCGCGGATCAGATGAGACAGGGCGTTGAAGTGGGGGAATTGCCAGGCGAACAAGATTCCACCTAGCAGCCATCCTCCAATGCTTTGTTCGCTGAAGAGCATGTCACGCCATGTGTCATGACCCATTGTCGCCGTCTGGCCTGCTGCGGCGATCCATCCCATGAGTGGTGGGATACCACCAACGACGGCGCCGACCCAGGTGTTGATAACGTGGATTCGCTTCAATGGTGTGTATACAAACGCATATAAAAAGATATTGGCGGCGGATAGGGCGGTGGTTGTTGGGTTAGTCCCGATATAAAGGAGCGAGAGACCTGCAACGGCGGTGCCAAACGCGAAGAGCAGAGCTCCGCGGGGCGAGACAAGTCCGCGAACCAGAGGGCGATTACGCGTCCGGGACATGAGTGCATCGAATTTGGGTTCAAACATCATGTTCAGTGTATTGGCACTGCAGCAAGACAGGAAAGTGCCCGCCGTCAGGTATAGAAAAGTTAGGGTTGAAGTTGAAAGTGTAGGGAGCGGGGTCATGGCCGGGTCGAGGGCGAGCAGAGACGAGATTGGGTACATCCCGTATGCAGAGGTGGTGGTGAGGACGATCAAGAAGGACAGTCGTGGTTTCGTCAAGGCGAGAAATGCAGCCAACTTGCGGCGGAGGGAGGTAGTGGGGAGTGTGGATGAGAAGTTCGACAATTGCGCCGAGGCATCCAGTGGGAGGCTGTGTTCTGGTTGTCCGGTAGCATTGCTTTCTTCCTTCAGGCGCTTCCGCCGCCGATGTGGTAGTTCCTGTGGTGTTGCTCCTGTCGCAATCGCAGCAGCGGACGATGCTGTTGTAGACGAGTTGACCTGACTGGCGTATGCATCGGGAGATGAAGCGGCTGGTTTACTTTTCGCATTCGAGGACGCAAGTGAAGACAGCAAACCACCTTTGCTATTTGATCCGTCGTTGAATCGATTGGCCGAGAAATATGATTTGTGGAATACAGAAGGGGACTGGTCATCCGCAGTCCCGGTCCGCCGTTTCGAGGACGATAGGAACCCCCGAATGCCCTCGGGGCGCACAAAACGAGGTCCGAAGAGACATTGTGTGCACACAATTGCCTCTCGAGGCCTCCGTAGAAGGGATGGCCGCAGAGGGATCATGGCGGGTCGGTCATGCAGAAGGAAGAAAAGTGAACGAGAGAAGTTGAATTTCCCCGGCGGTGCACGGGCCACATCCGTTCACCTTGAGAATGTCAACAATTGTTCTTCTGGGCATTGCCTGATCTTCAACACTGTTCTCTCCTTTCAGTGATTATTCGATACTCAAAATGGATACCATTCAGAAATCAGTGATAACGCCTCTTCAGCCTTATTTGGCTCCTATTGTCTCGGCCATTCCGGAGCCAGTGCACGATGCCGTTGTGTCCTTGATTGGGAAATCTTGTCACGGCGCACTATTGGTTGACCTCGATGTCACTAAGGACCCTGCCTGCACATCACTCGCCATTTCCAAGGCCCTCGGCATTGCTATTGTTGGCGCCAGCGCAGTCGTCAAGATCCCGCAGATCCTGAAGCTGATCAACTCCCGCTCATCGGCCGGTGTCTCATTCGTGTCTTACGCCCTCGAAACCGCCAGCTTGCTCATCACTCTCTCGTACGGTGTGCGCAACCAGTTCCCATTCAGCACCTATGGCGAGACTGCTCTCATCGCCGTCCAGGATATCGCCATCGGTGTTCTGGTCCTGAACTATGCCGGACGCTCCGCCGCAGCCGCAGCTTTCATTGCTGTCGTAGCTGCCAGCGTTTATGCGCTGCTGTTCGACCAGACTCTTGTGGATGCGCAGACTATGTCTTACCTACAGGCTGGTGCGGGTGCTCTGGGTGTTGCTAGCAAGGCTCCTCAAATCTATACCATCTGGCGCAATGGAGGAACCGGACAGCTTAGCGCATTCACGGTACGATTGTCTTTGTCTTTTAACGTGATCTCAGTTCAGCCACTAACTACTTTTTCTAATCAGGTGTTCAACTACCTCCTCGGATCCATGTCCCGAATCTTCACCACCCTCCAGGAAGTCGACGACAAGTTTATCCTCTACGGATTCATTGGCGGCTTCTCCCTCAATGTGATCCTCGCAATTCAGATGCTCTGGTACTGGAACTCCCCGGCGCCCAAGCAGAAAGCTGCTCCTCGCGCAAAGGTCGTTGGGAAGGCACCCTCAGCTCAGAGCACGGGAGCGTCCCCAAGACCTAGCGTGAAGACACCCACCACCCGCCGACGCGGTTAGATAGCTTAGTTGCTGTTTACCTTGGATTTTCTTTCGAGTTGGTTAAAACAATAATAATGCCGTCCGTTTTTTATACCATGCAATTGGAGGAACGAACTACGAGAAATTATATTCATGGAAAACCGTGAATCAAGTAGAACCGTAAACACAGGCCACATGCCTCGAATCAAGACCATCAAGTCTCCAGAGATCGCGAGACTACGGCATACGCCCAGTAGTCATATATCTCAAAATAAGGTCAAGCGGCACGAACGGCTGCACAGGATGCGGCTGATGAGGAGCAATCTTAAACTCCAACTCAGCAGAACCAGGCTTACGCTGAACACCCACAACATCCATCTGATCCCCATCTCCTTCTTCCCCGTCGCTCTCCTCCTCCGACTCATCATCATCCTCCAACTTCCTCCTCAAGCCAGTGACAACATTCTCTATCCCAGCCTCGCGCTCCTCAAGCGTGAAATTCCCGCCCCAGTTCCTCCGCCGCGCTTCCTGGTTCGCCTCCAGCGGCGCCCATTCCCATAATTCCGCGAGCTCTGCCTCGCTCAGCAGTTTGTGTGCAGCATTGGGGTCGGAGGAGAAATTAGACGACGGCCCTGCGGCGGGTTCTGTGCCAGCTGCACGACCGCGCGCAACCCAGTCTTCGACGCGGGGATCGAGTTTTGTGCGGAGGAGTTGCTCGAGGGTGTTTGCTTGTGTTCGGCCCGGGTATTCTGGGCCTGGGTAGGCGACTAGGTTGGAGAGGAGGTCGCGTTGGTCGGAGAGTTGGTCGGAGACGCTGATGAGGTTGTTGGAGATGATACTTGCTTGGGATTGGAGGGAGGTCCTGGTTTAGGTTAGTTTGGTGGTTTTGAATAATCATTACATTTGACTGCTTAGGTCTGGGGATCGGATTGGTGTCGGATTGGTGGGATGGTAGCTCTTACCAGGGCGGAAGAGGATCACTTTGGTTTAGACTTGCGATCAGCGAGCCTAGTGAGCGGGTGAGCTGCACTAGACGCTGCCGCGATTGTTCGAGGACTTTAATTTGTTCTTGTGTGAGGTTGGACATGGCTAGTTGAGAGTGGAAGGTCAAAGAGCTCCGTGAGGGGATAAGGTAAAGTAGATCGGGCCCGCCTTTACAGTTGACTGCTCTTACTTCAATTTTCTTAAATTTCGTCTTCACTACATTGTCAATATTTTTATGGGAAACTTGAATTTTTTTTCAGCTGATTGATTCTATATCAAGCGATGTACTCCATACCTGGGCAGACAAGTGACAGCACTCAAGTTAAACCGCCCATATTCCTACAACATAAGCAGCACCAAGCACCAAGCACCAAGCCCTCAAACCTCCAAGGTCAAAAGTCCACAAATCCAAAAATAACCTCGAGGTCAACCACCTCATTCCTCATTGGGCCCTTGGACACTTGGCGGTGCGTGCTGAAACGCCTGCAGGGCCAGCGGGCCAATCTGCAGCGGCGCTGGAACACAAGACGCTGTCGTCCAGAGGTTTCATGGCCGATCATCTCGTATTATCTGACAGGCTTGCGTCGGCTTAGCTTGTCCCGCTGTTGGCATTGCTGGACGGCTTGTCAATGCTATTTTAGGATGTTATGTGTGTACATGTAGGTAGAGCGGTTAGCGACGATGGGTACTTAAGTCGTCCGCCGCCCTTCGGTAATATTTGGTGCTGCTCTTTTGCGCCTCCTTCTCACTCTTTTGTTTTGGATTATTGTACTTCATTGGGCATTTGCAGTGGATACTTTTCTCCATTTGACTATTGGCTATACTACTAAGCAATGCAGACATTGCAAGATGTCGGGGATATATCGGCACAATCCTGGAACAGAACAACTCCGTAAAAACAAGAACCCAAAATGCACAAACGCCGTCAAAAATGAGGTGAGCTGATATCCTGATCTCATTACATCCAAGTCACCAACTGACTCTGCTATCCACAGCCATTTCACCTATGCTCAACAGGAAAGGAAACACAACCAGGTACAAGTTGTCATAACCATCGCTACCACTGAGGGTCCTTTTGCTTTTGATCTGGGTCAAAGACCTGAGGGTGATCCTGAACCTGAGCATCCTGCTGCTGCTGATACTGTTGCTGGTACTGCTGTTGCTGGTACTGCTGTTGACCAGGCTGTTCAATAATGTCCTGGGAGACACCTGACTTATCCTCACCCTGATAGTGTTGTTGGTACTGTTGGCTTTGATATTGTTGGTCCTGTGCATGGCCATACGCAAGCTCCTGTCCGCGGCCATCATTATCAATAAAGCCAAAGCCTAACCCGTGCCCATACACGCCAGAGTTATACATCTGTTGCTCAGCCCAGACTTGCTGCTGCAGCTGCGCGCTGGTCGGTGAGGCACCGGATGCCTCGTGCCAGCGGTTGTACATTTGAGGTGACTGGCGGCTCCGGCCAACCTTTCTGCGTCGATGCCGGACGAAGAAGAAGCAACACACTGTGAGCGCCGTGACGAGGATTAGAAATCCTACGATTGGAACGGCAATCACCACTCCCAGATTCAGGTTTGAATGTTTCGCGCCGGGCGTTGTGAGAGACAAACTAGAGGGGAGTAGGGATTGGCTGAAGATTCTCGTTGGGGCTATGTTGAAGGGCTTTCCCGTTGCTGTCTTGAAATGGCAGTTGTAGCGGATGGACTCGAGGACTGGATTTGGATGATGATTAGTTGCGGTTTCTTTTGATGACACTTGGCTTAGGATTTGCTGATATCGCATCAACACAGGGATGGTTTGCAGGGCATACGTACAGTTTGCCATGTAAACTTGGGTGGAGGTCAAGTTATAGCAGAACTCGCAGGCGTCAACGACATTATCGGCAAACGATTTGGTTTCACACCACGAGTTCAGATTCGATGTGTCCGGGTCTTCAAGATGGGTTCCAACTGCTACACGCACGCTATCGCATGCGACTGGGCATGGTGAAGAGACATTTGAGACCGACTCTGGAGATCCAAACACACAGGTTGAAAAAGCGTAGCGCAGGTTATCTGATTCAGTTGGTTAGAGCTGAGCGACAAATCGCAATCTGCGATATCGGGAAGGTGGTACGACATACAGAGCCCCCAGTTCACGTCCGATTCCCCGGTATTCATATCGTGGAACTGGCTGTCCAACTGGCAGGAGATGCATTTTTCGAAACTTTTCCCCACCGAGGTTTTATCATACGATTGATCCAAACACGCAATCTCGGACGATGTAGTGTTGGTCGTTTTACCACACACATCTGTGCAGGGAGAACCTGGTGTGGTTTTCAATGCGAAAGCCACTGGAGCCGAGCTATTCAGCAAGATCACAGCCGCGACAAAAGCCAACATCCTGGAGGACCTTGAACTGCCATCGCTTAGCCCGAACATGATGAGCCGAAGTGAACAGAGAGTCCGACAACTGTTCTTACAGCGACCGCCAAGGAAGAGGGAGGACAATAGGCAGAGTGCCGGATGGGTCGATCTCACGTTCGCATGAGAAACGGTAAATTGTAAATCTGGACTGTGAGATTTTTGCCCAAGGCGGGAAAGCTTCTTTTTTTCACTGCCAGCAGCTCTTACTCCGTTCCGTATGGATGTGATGACCGGGTGGAGCAATTCAGTCGGCTGAGCTCGCAGGCAGGGAAGGGCCGAACAATCCCAGCACCTGCACAGCTGCTAATGCTTGGGTGAAGCAACAGGAAAGATGTGCGGATCGAATCAAGCACATTCCCAGCGTTGGTCCTCAGCGCTTAGAGAACGCCGCCTACAGGCTGGTTTTTAACTGCACCTTTGGTTGGGGAATCGAGAAACGGTTGGTGGGGATGGAGTGATCGCCCCGTCATCCTGCAGTGGATATCCTGCAGGTGTACAGAGTGTGACGAATCTTGATAATTGATTGGTGAGAGGGCGGGTTGTGACTGTGATCCAGGCTGCATGATGCACGGACAATCGCATGTTCACCCCCTCCGAGTAAGATCGCAAAACCCAGGACCTATTCGGAGACGGGTGTCGGCTTCCTTTGGTAAAAGAGAAAAAGTAATTCTCGAAGGTTTGATCTGCCAAGAGAACCCCCTCTTGTTAGGGCCGGGAGTAGGCAGGGCTCCGGATTTTCAACCCGTAGACATTATGCTTACGAAGTACATTACGAAGTACATTGTATGGAGAGATTAAATTTCCTTGAAATTTCGCTCAAATAATTATACGAACTGAAATTGCACAAAGCCGCCATGCAAAATTAAGGAAATTCGAATCGACGGGTGATCACAGATTCCAAACAAGACTTGAACAAGACTGATTGGTCTGTTACATATAGAAAAACCAAATAAAAAACACCGCCACATATAGACTTCTAGTTGAACATTTGTTTAGGACATATCAACCATAGAGCTCATCATACGAAGGTACCATTTCCTGAGACGCAGCCTCAGGTTCCCGGTTTGTACGGGGAGGGTATCTTTTCTCTGGGGGAGGTGAATTCGGGGTGTACGCAACGCGAGGTGTGGAGGGTGGCATAGAGGGGGCAGAGATAGAGGAAGCTGCGGTATAGCTCGTTCGTCTCGAGTTGATGCCACCAGATATAGATGTTGTGGGTTCTGTTGCACAGCTTTGTAAACTGCAACGGCGCATGCGCGAGGTCACAGAGAGCGGAGGAGACTTGGCTGGGATATCAAAATCTTCGGGAAGGTCGCGTGGTGTGTGAGACACATCTCCCATGCTGTATTCTCGAGGGCTTAATTGAATTCGTGGGCCCAGAGTATCTCGTTCTTCTTTCTCTTCTTCTTCATCGCAAGACTCATCCGTAGTACATTCGTCATTGATAATAGAGCTTGGGGGTCGGCGATGTGGCCCACCGCTTAGATCACCAAGGCCAAGTCCTTGACCAGGTGGTGTATGAGATGGCGGTGTGTGCGAGTCTCCGTTGCGACGCCGAATGTTTTGGTCGAAATATCCAGTGGGAAATGGCGGAGGGTCTCCCACTTGGTGTTCTCGGGTGCCTATGCTTCGCGATCGTTTGCTCGAGGCGCCAGAACTCGACCGGCGTAATGGACCAGCCGGGAGATATTGTTGATTTTCTTCAGAGGTCCTTGCAGATTTATTGGTGTAACCAGAAGGGTGATTCCACTGGTTCCAGGACCCTTGTGTAGGATAGGTAATAGAAACATCACCCCAGCGAGAGTGGAGCTCTGTGGACACTCTCCGCTTCCTCTTGAACTTCTTCATGAAAGTCGCCATAGCCTTTGAGCAATCAATCATGGGGGCTGGAGTGGTGGCGCGTTCGGGAATCAAATATACCGAAGGGAGGACAAATCACTCCCGGATGCGGTGCTCATCTCAGAACTTATCAACCTCCCCATAGAGAGCCTGGGTTTTCTCCCCAGGGAAACAAGTCAAGTACGGCCGACGGAGGAACAAAGGGAGACAGGGAGAAAGTGACCAAGGCAGATAGATCGCTCGCGCGTGTTGACGTTATATCAAAACGAGAGGTCCATGGAGGCGCACTAGCCAACCACTGCATATCCGTTGGTTGACCAAAAACAGCGAAGATCTTCTGAAATGAAGTGCTTGACCGGGGATGGTGCTGGAAACCAACTGATCCGGCGAGTGATTAGAGACCCAGCAGGCAACCCGGTGGTCTGGTACCCCTCTGCTGGTGGCCCCCGGGGGCGGAATCTAAGAATCAAGAGTGTGTCTCTCGCACAAACAACGGCGCCTCGAGGAAAAAAAAAAAAAAAAAGAAAAAGAAGAGCCAACAGTTGGCCCGCTAAATGATCTAGGCGAGCCATAAATGAGAAGCTCCCATAGCTGCAGCGTACGTAGGCAACGCATGTGGGAGGGGTAGGAAATTTACAATCCCTGGCGCCCCCCGGTCATTCTCAGCGAGGGAGATAGTCAGTTATGAGTTGCGGCGCAGTCAACTTGCGTTTTGACGGACTTGACGCGGGTCGGCCATAGATTGCATAAAGGGTGTTTCTATCAATGCATCCTCGTCGTTCGTCGTCTTGGCACGGCGCTTGTTCAAAGATCTACACTCAAGAACAAAGACCGTCGATAGATGATCGGAGATGTAATCTGACTTGCAGGTTTGTCTCGAATTCAGGAGTGATCCAATAACATGCGTGATAGACACGGTAAAACCAACTCCTCTCTACCTAGCCGGTGGTGACTAGAAATGGAAAATACCAGGACAGGGATCAAAAGAGGGGGTAGGCTCCTGTCGAGACAAAAATGCGTAAATGCACTGTTTCGCTGTGACGCATCTGAACCCCTGCAATGAAGTGGAGTTGAAGGATATTCACAGTCGAGTCCACGCAAACGTGTAAATTGCAAGAACACAAAGGTACTTCAAAGGTTACATTTTTCTAAATTATTAGTAAGTCACCAGGTGTGGTCCGCCACCGAGGCGTTTGGGCCAGGGATATATCAAGGAACAACGAGAGGCGCTGAGGGTGTGAAAAGGGAAATCCCGGGACGATATTGGAGAGCATAGCACAGGCCAGGTGTCTGTCAATGATCTACTCTGTACACTATAAAGTATTTATCTATAACGGAGTAATATTCACCAGTTAGAAGATTTGATTTTTGAGAAAGAATAAAACAAATAAATTGAATGACAAATACCCCCCAGTCGCATTTTCCAAAAAGAAAACGCCATGTCGTGATAGTCGTAAAAACAAGAAACAAGCCCAAGCCACTGTCACAACTTCAACGGAAATTGGTGATCAGCCGCGACAAGACGGGCTTAGGCTGTTTTGGGACGCCCTGGGCTGAAAGCATTGGCTCCGATGCACTCCTCTCCCTCTTGTCCCTGCGTTCCTGTCTATCCTGTTCCGGAGGTGGGATAGCTGCCTGGAGCCTCGGCCTAGTTGGAACAGCTACGGGACCAATCGGAGCGCCATAGTCGGCCATTGACACTGGTCGGGAGGTGGCTAGTCTAGCGTCACTGTAATGAACTGCACTCAACCGGGAAGAGGGACCAGGATGCGGATTTGCATGAGCGGGGTTATAGGTATAGGTGTGGGCGTTAATATCGCCCACCATGGACGTTGGCCGAATAGGTTGGTATCGTGATGGATCATATGTTGGCAGTGTGGGGTATGGTGGGGGTTGTTCGTATGAAGGGCGAGATAGCTGCTGTTGGTATTGTTGCGCGTGCTGGGCCTGGCGACTGTAGTCTGGCGCAAAGGAGGACAAGGGCCGGCGTTGGGAGTGGAGACCTCTGGGTGTGCCTAGTTCGTCCGTTTTATAGGCCGGTGGCGGTTCAAGAGGAGAGAAATCATCGGATTGGGCATTTCTCCTTCTGGCCCGTTCTTTGCGCGAGAAGAGATATAGTAAGCTTCCAGCCACTGGTTTAGGTTAGTTTGCTTCTGTGAGGTTGCGGCTTGGGCTGCATACTTGCTAAGAAGATAAGGCTGCCTGCTATTGCGCTAATGATAATGACAGGGGTTCGAGAAGAGGTGTTGTTATCAGAGCGGGTTGCAATCGAATAATTAATTGACATATCCCAGTATGTGAAGGATAATTCAACGGCGACGCGTTTTCCAGAGCGAGGACATGCAGGGTATAGATATCCCAGAGTAAGCAAAGAACTGGAGTCAAGACAGCTTTGCCCTCCACGAACTTGTATCAGGAGTAAGACTCTAGAATTGAGCCCCAATCCTGTGAACCGATGCTAAGAACAATCCATGCTTTGAAAAGCGAGGATATAGATATATAAGACCCTGAAACGGACCAGCGAAGCTTAGTCCCATCCTGACACACGGTCCCTGTTTCAAGATATTTTGAGCGACTCGCGGGGAAAAATAAAGATAGTATCAATTAGCTATAGATCTATAGATAGATACGCCAAAAAGCGACAAAATTAGCCAGCATTAGTTCAATTAACCTGCATTAACCTGCATAAGCCACCTAATCCGGCAGGCTAGAACCTTGTAAATGCGCCTTAATTTCTAAATTAAAACGGCTGCATCTGTGAAGTAATCACATCAATGTATTCGCCGCCACCAACAGTGTTGTTATACATTAACTGGTTCGTGAAAAGCGCCTCGCAACTAGCAAATGATATTCCTCTTTAATGCAACTATACTTCAATGAAAATGGTTGTAAGGTCTACAAGGTGTGATGAGTGTGATGGGGGTTGAGTAGTGTTTATGTTCTTGTCCATGTTCATGGTCCTCTACGCCTTGATTTATCAAGTCTCTTACCGAATATGGAAACTTCACAGTTGGGGCTTCAACGCCCGCATACAATATGAGCCAACGCAAGCCCTACATTAATTTTCGAATCCCCGATATTCAGAACACAAGTTTCCTTTTGTTCCTTTTTTGAGATATCACACAATTTGTATCTATTGCCTTCATCGCAAATATGACTCACTCAAAATGCCCACCTGGGTCTTTTACTCCGCATACGCCCGATAAACAGCCATGCCCTTGTCAGTCACGAAATCCAGCGCAACACCCTGCCCCACAAAGAAAACATATCCCTCCTTTAGCTCAGCGGTCTGGTTATCAGGGAATTTCATCTGACCACAACCTTTTGTAACAATCATCAGACTCGGCCCAAGAATGGCCTTGTGCGTCTCGTTCTCCCCAGCGCCAAGAGTAGTACACAGCACAGAAAATTCGCTGATAGGCGGCGCATAGACATCTGTCTTACCATTCATCTCCTTGTCACTCTTTCTGCGTGGCAGCAGCGCATTCTTTGCGTTATGAGGTACAAAGCTCAAAGCCTGCCCAAATAACTCAATACTGTCGCGATCTGCAGCCGGACAGAACCCTGTGTTGATGACGTTGTCCGACCGCGCCATGCATTCCACGATATCACCTTCCAAGTAGGCGTGAATGCTATCTGCGGGAACGAAGACGGAGTCTCCCGGGCCCAGAGTCAAGTAGTTCATCAGAAGGGCGGCGACTAGATTACCGTTATCTCCTTCGCCGTATTGCTTTGCTAGACGGCCGAGTAGGCTGGGGATGTAGGTGTGTACTCCAAAGTGGGATTCTGGTATGGCTTGCAGGTCTTTCATTGTCTGTGCGACTTCTTTCGGCGGTGCACTGAGTAGAGACTTGCATACTTGGCGTAGGGTCTCATCGTTGAATTGTCCTGTTTTGGGGATGTACTTTGCCAGGTGGTTCAACTCGAATAGGGCTTGTATGTCTTTCAGGGGCTTCCAGCCGGCGAACAGCTCGAATTTCGAGAGTGCGATTGCAATCTCCGGCTTGTGCATTGTGTCGCCATACTTTTCGGGGTGTTCTTTGTGCAGTTGGGCGGCGAGCTTCAGGTCGGGGTGGATTTGTAGGGGCAGGGCTTTGCTGAAAGATAGAATCTGGATCAATGTTAGTTATCTATGTTGCCACACAGTAAGAGCCTTGGCTTTTGTGCTTGCCTTGGGCAGAAATGGGATCTCCGGACCCCAGCGGTCATGGACAGACTTGCCCACTAGCTCGGGGTGTTTCTTCAGGTACTCCCCCAGGTGCTCTCCTGTATAAAGCAGATAGGATGGGTTTGAAGGGTACATGCCCATCCACATCTGGTGAAAAATCAATATGACTGTGCTTATAGTAGTCAATACTTCGGACGAGAAGCTTACTTCTGAATAATGCTTAGAGTCGTCAATCGCTGCATTGTTTGGGGTTTTTGACCATAGCTGAGCTACAATGGAATCTTTTCCTTTTTTTCCCCAGTCGTCGTTCTATTAATTCAGGGTAAATTAGTATTGATGCAGAATATCTGGGCAGGGTATACTTGCTTTGACACCACACCGAAGTTGGACTACTGCGTCTGCCATTGTAATCAAGATGATATTGAGATAGCCTTTCTCTATAGTGGGTGTGCTATGTTTCAATTCAACACTTAAATTGCTTCAAATCGCCGCGCCTACATGGTATTTTCTATTGGCAGAGGCAAAAGACGTTGATATGCCGTCATGGTGATATATGGAAAGACTGTCGCCCCATGCGGTAAAGTACTCAGGATCCGCTGAGACCAAGACATCAGTTCCATGATAGAATGGTGAAAAGGTCCACCAGTTGGAATGCTATTTAGAAGTGCTTGCATTTGTATGTCACTGGAGGGCTAAGATCAAGGTCGAATGTTTCCATGAAGTAAACAATCCATAATTAGTTAAACTTTAAATAAGATTTACCAAAGCTACTGTTATCAAAACGCAAATTGAATTGGAAAAGAAAATAAATGGTTTCATTCTGAGGCGCTATTAGAAGGCCAGTGACCACCAAAAAATACCCAGCTAACACCGTGCAATGATGCTCAAAAATCAAAATGCATCTCACAGCCGAAATGAAACGAGCCACATTACTCATAGAGATTATCAGGATCAGGAACCATCGCCATTGCCAGAGGTTTCGAGATTGTGGAAGCCCTACGATCAGCCGCGACAAAAGGTGATGTCCGCCGTCTAGGGGGCAGCCCATAATTTCGTCGCGAACCAGAGTTGTCCGAACTATCACCGATACTAGTAGAATACAGACTACTGCGACGATCATCCTCGCGGTAGGTGCTCATTCGGACGTTCGGAGTGTAGTGATCGCGATCGCGATCACGACCGCTGTGTCGCCGATCACTCGACTCGGGGACCGAGCTGCGCCGCCAGTGGGGGGTGCGGGGCGAGCTGACAGATTGGCTGCGTGGAGTCTCAGCCCCTGAGCTTTCAAGGTACCGTCCATTGGTCGGAATGTACTTGAAGCGATTGCTGGGGTGAGTGGTATTTTCGACTAGTTCGGAGGTGTAGTCTTGTTGAATTGGTCGATATGCAAACTCATTTCGCTTTTGCTCGGAGCGCTGAGCGTGTCTGTCTATCTGTGATTCATCTTGCAGCTGTTTGGGACGCGAGGCGAGGCGCACTGAAAGCCGGCCCGGTCGGAGGCCCCCGAGAGATAGTGAGCTCCGCCGCGAGCTAGTTGAAGCTTCGCTGCAGACACTTTTGTCGTCGTCGTCTTGGTCGTCTTCTTTCACCAGGAGGGGTTTGGGGTCTTGCGGAGAGCAGTCCGGCACATAGCCTGGCCCGTATGAGGATCTCTCTTTGACTGGTCGATGGGGATTGTCATACTGATTCCATGAGCCATCTGTGGGCACCGAGATGGACACATCCCCCCATCGAGTATGGAGAGGTTTTGTAGAGTCCGACTTGCGGAAGAGAGAAAGAGGTCTGTTGGTGATTCCCTCCATGACGTGTGTGAAAAGGTTGTGTGATAACGACTCGTACTTCTCTTATATCGCCCCCAGCAAAAACAAAAGGTGACATTCGTTTAAAGGGGAGAGTAATAATCGAGCGGGGAAATATATGGACAGGGTTGATATGTTCTAACGAGAACCAGCAGACAACCGGTGACGAGGACTTGCCGACAAATCTGCAAGTCGGCAGAGCAACAGGATTTTGGTGACTTTCACTGCAAATCTCCTGTTTTCTGCAACCATCCAGAAACCAACAGTGGGAAAGCCACGGATTGGGTAGTGGCCAGGATGACGACGAACAAGGATCTTGAGGGGCCAGTGAACCCAATCCTTGCAAACAGACACGCTGAAAATAACAAAGAATGCAAAAGCAAATAAAAGCAAGTGCGAGTCCGCCAGGGACTTCAAGCCAGTCTGAGAGACAGAAAAAGAACATTCATTTCGGCGGAAGGCGTCCGGATATAAAGCTTGGTTTCACCAGGGTGCCGCTTTCTGTGATGTCGAAAGCGCTTTGTCCCGGATGTTGGGGATCTTCTTCATTGTAGCTGTTGACAGCAATGGCCAATAGGGCTTGTGCATTACCGCCGAGTTGTTATGCAGGCGAAGATCTGTCTGTGCTTTGACAGGGGTTATTGTTCCTTAATTAGTTTGCATATCGGCCACTTTGGGTCTTAAAATAGATATTAATTAGCTGCAATTTACCGGCATAAAGTATCTTCGGGAAGTATCCGTTAACTATTTTCCAAAACTGTCTTCTCATGACTATATATTCTAACTTCTTTGTAAAATGTATTGAGAGCATTCTCGTTTTGAAACGGATGGAAAACAATTCTGCCAGTTTTGTTTATAAATTTCGATGCCTTTTGCATTGTTTTGTTTGACGTTTATTATTTTTGAGCCCACGCTATACATATGCAGGGCGAATGTAACACACCATGACCAAATCCAGCTAATTAGCGATATTTATAGAATTCCTAGAATTCTCACTAATATGAAAATGAACTTACTAATGCAAGTGATCTCGGGATACTTACCTTTCCTACCTTCGTTCCCGGTGCTTAGATTAGAACAATATATTTCCTTGCAGTGATCCCTGGAAACGATATGCATATACATAAAGCCAGACAACTCGTCGTTAAGAGGTGGTCTTCACTAGGAATCTACACTTTGTGGATGATTACGAAGAAACTAGGTGTAGATTCAATGATCGAGAGATGGGCTGAGAGAGAGATCATCAATGCTCAATGTAATTTCCAGGTCCTGCCTTATCTTCATAAGACCTAGGAGATTGAATTTGTTTCCTGGTTTATTTCACAGTGGACTCGAATCTTGCGTCGAGTGCCGTCATGTGGATATGATTTTGAGAGACTCGAGTGACGTGAGAGCCAAAATTTCACCATTGTCACTTGTTGTTTGGGTAGTCAAAAGTAGTCCTCTTTAGTTCTCGGTGGCCTCCTTCATGTCGGTGTCCTTCTTCCCATCCTCCACAGCATCTACCTCGTCGATGGTGGCAGGCAATTGGATGGTAGGTCGAACCTTCTTGTTGGTATCGGCGGCTCCCTTCTTGTCCCGTAAGGTGCGCTTAGCCCCCACTTTCTTGAATCCGTGCTGTTGCTGCAGGCGGATCAACCGCATCCGGCAAGTGGCTTTATTGATTCCGAGTCTTTGTGCCGCGGCCTCATAGTCAATCTGTAGTGAACTTTTGCTAGTATAACCTACAATCCATTGTTCAGTACCAAGTGAGAGATGGCCTACCTTGGTGTCTTCGAGAATAGTAAGCAAGAACTTCTCATTACTGGCCTTGGGAAGTGACTCAATTCCCTGGAGGGTCTCGGCCTCGAGATTGACAGGACCCTTAAGCTTGAGCTTGACTGTCAGCTTGGCCGGGGCCTCTGGTATTTCGATTTCCTGGGCCATGGTGAAGTCAATTTGTTTGTTGGTAGATGTGAAGATGGGATGGTATGATGTTGGGGTGAAAGATCTGGGTGGATAAAAGTGTTTTATGTTAGGTGAAAAGCTAAGTAGTAAGTGTGAAAGAGAAGAAAGGAACAGAAACAACAGGAAGAAACAAATAGGACAGACCTTTCATACCTGGTATATCTACAAGGGGCCACAGTCATATGAGTGACTGTTCATCTCAACCCAGCCAACTCTGGGCAAGCAATACAAGTGAAGACACTCGGTTTGTGCTGCTTTTCGCTCTTCCCTAAAAGCTGGGCCATAGACACCCCTTCAATGACATGCTCGTCTTCAATTTCTGAGTTAGTCTCTGCGTTTTCGGGATCAGAGTCAAGTCCTTTGCAGTGACTGTGGTGCGTCGAGAATCTAAGGCGCGTCGACGAGACGTCGACGGACGAGCTTGGATATCTCGCCTTGAGCGTCTGAACCACATGCATCTCCACTCCCCTATCAGTTCTAGGCAGTTTATGACAAATCATCTCTGGAGCTGATATGGATGGATTCTTTGGGGGACTATACTCAGCAAGGTCACTGTCATGACTGGCATGTATGTGGAATTTCAAGCTCGATGGCCGCATAAGTGTTCTTGGTCCATATCCTTGATGACTAGAGACTTGGCATGATGTTATATTATCTGTATTATATCTACATGTGCCATGTACCATCACTAGTAGTTCACTTGAGGCTCTTGAATTTCTGCATGGGCATCCCGAGGTCCTCACCTGCGCCCCACTTTTAACCTGAATCCCGGTAGTCATCCATGGATGAATCAAGCTTATTTCTGCTTTCTTCTTGAGCCTCAAACAATCAAAATATGCACAAAAAAGGAGATAAAGGGGAGCAACAGGCAGGTAGATTGAGGTGAAAATGAAACACGTAAACAAAAAACGGTCAGGGCCGAAAATGAACGGCAGGCCAAGCATGTCAAAAACGAAAAAATGGGAGAGCCCTTGGGCGTTAGGTAATTACAGGTAGCTGACACCAAAGGGCACAGAGTTTAAGAAGTGAGGCTAGATTTAAGGGAGGGGAGGGGGATATCATAGTACGTACGTACAACAGAGAGACTCGATTAAACCAATAAAGGCCTGGACCCTGTCTCGTACAATGTAGGTCTGGTGTTAATGACCCCCAGAAGATATGTTCATAGGTTATTGGAAATACGGAGGTATTTTCTAGGCACTACAGAAAGATTGTTTTGCTGTCAATGTTTGTAGAGCTGTCGTACAAATCGTGTTTCACTCTTCAGCCACTGTTGTGTAGTTTTATACCCCTGTTTCCAAGTGCTGCTGCAGCTTATTCAGAGACACTGGTTATATTGTCGTGCTTAGTACAATGTCCGATCATATCGTAGGAACGATGAAGCCGCAGTCGGAAGTCAACGAAAAGAGACAGACCTAAGCGAATGCCGACGGCCTCTCGGTATATATCCGTACATAGATCCATGTGCCTATGCGACATTCCGAAGAGTGATGGTCTTTTTATACACCAGGTGTCTCTAATGACTTTCTTAGCGGCTTTATTATCGTCAAGAGTGTATATAATGCTGGATAAATAAGTCCCGCATATAGAACACAATATGTACGTGCCGTTCTTGGTATGGAACATACTGTAATTGAATTCTCCGACTCTTAGTAACCACTGTTCTCATCGTGGAATTTCCACGTCATACGGCGAACTGTCTACAGATAATCACGATAATCATGATCAAACGAGTGTGTATTCCAATGTGGAAAAAGTATATTTAAATCTAAAAACCAACAAAAGAGCCTGCGCATAATTCATAACAAATAACAAATCGTGTCGCAGACTCGAATCGTAAAAAAGAAAGACATTCCAACCAATCTATACCATGTCCCGTAACCCATATATCCTGTATACTATACAGTACTGGGCACTTGAGTCAATCAATCCCAATACATCAAACCCTCACCTCCACTGTGCAATATGTACAAAGCACGAAGGCTGTCTTGAGTGTGAAATCAATATATCTCACGGACCCAAGACTAAACTCAGCGTAGCAGTAGATGGCGAGCCACTCAGCCGCTCAGCTACTCAGTATTTACTGAGCAATAGTGGAGGGCGAGGGAGTGGGGGTGGAGGTAGGGAAGCCAGTGGAGGACTCCTGGTGCTTCTCGAAAGGCAAAGAGAAAGGAAGGTCGGTAGGGAAGCCGGTAGGGAATGCACTCAGGATGCCGCTGGGGATGGAGAAGGGAAGGTCTGTGGGGAACTGGCGCTTCTCAAAGCTGCTGGGAGTGGCGGTGGGGGTGGGGAAGCTCGATGAAGGTGAGACAGTCGAGGTCGAGAAGACGATGGGAGGAGGGCCCTGGTGACCGGGTCCATGGTGGAACTGGCGCTTCTCGAAGGGGAGACCGGTAGGCGCGGGGAAGTCAGTGGGGAAACCACTGGGGAAGCCACTAGGGGTGGGGCAGGGGAAGGAGGAAGGCAGGTCGGTAGGGAACTCCTGGCGCTTCTCGAAAGGAAGAGAGAAGGGCAAGTCGGTGGAGAATCCGGTAGGAATGCCGCTAGGGGTGCCAGAAGGGGTACCACTGGGAGTACCACTGGGAGTCGGGAAGCCGCTGGGAGGTCCGTGGTGGAACTGGCGCTTTTCGAAGGGGAGGCCAGTGGGAATACCGGTGGGAGCGCTGCTAGGAGTGCTGCTGGGAGTGCCAGTGGGAGTGCCGCTGGGAGAAGAGCTGCATGGGATGGGCGCGTCACTGGGGGCGCCGAGGAAAGCAGGAGCACCCTGGGGCAGGGCGAGGGCACAGCCCATCATGCCCATAGCAGCGAATCCAGTGTATCTCATTGTGAATGGTATGAACTAATTGGAAGATATATCGAAATGGAGAATGGAGAAAAGTAACGAAAATCAGACTCAGATATATAGGTAGTATATCAAAGACAGAGCTTACGGCTTAGAGAAAAATTTCGGAGAGCCGAGGACGGGTTTATAAGACTGCCGACTTATCAGGGTCATTGAGCTTGGTCCCAGGCCGAAGTGGATTCCGTGATCGGGCCATGACTTCAGGGTTGTTGCCTCGAGGGCTGGGCAGGCTGGAAGTGGACTGGCCGGACGAGGATACTTAGAACGGTCAAGGTGGGTTCGTCGATCCTAACTTGAGGGACCTTAGGGTCGTCAGGGACCAGGCCCAAGGCGGGTAGCAGCACATGGTTTGGGGCTGAGGTATTTTTTCATGAAGTTTTCGCTGGCCAGCCAACGCATAAAAAGTGGTTCTTGTGTCTTCGAGGCAAGTATCGACAGTACGGCTGGGCTACAGACGCCACAACTAGGTACCAAACAATAGTGCGACGATCATCTTCCGCGTACAGAGTAGCATAAAAAGCAAATGATTGTGGGTGGACTGGTATCAAATGCCATTTTTCCGATGGTTGCTAACTTCACGCTCACAACGGGGTCCGGCCGAGGCTGAACCTTGTTCTCACTCGACTTCAGGGCACCTAGCACAAATTACCCCTTTTTTGAGGCCACGACACATCATCGCGGCGATGAGCACATCATCCCTCGTTTTCATAGCGTCATCAAGGTGTGTCCGCGACAAAATGGCTGGTCACTTGTTTCATGTGTATTGATTTCGCCACGCTGTGTCTATCCGAAGGCTGATACACAGCCTGTGTCAGGATGTGCGGATTATGTACGGAGTACCCACGGACGAGGGTGGACTCAGGGTGGCTGAAAAGGGTTGGCAGAGCCACTGATTGATAAGTGAGGTCCAATAGTCACCGACTGATCGGCGAGGTGGAACGCTTTCAATCCAATTCTGTGGAATGTTAGGCTGATTTTTCCGCAATGGAGCCCTCAAAACGACTCAATAATGGTCTCCTAATGACAAACTGTGATGTGTTCCACTGACATTTAGAAAGCATCGCCCGTTCCTTCAAGAAGTTCGAGACGACAAAGATATTCTATAGCCGCCACAACCTTCAAGGCCTAGAATATCATCAGTCCATGGCGAGTCGTCGTCAGCCCTGGTGTGAATCGGGGTCAGTTGGTCCACAGTGGACCCCGTGACATAGGATCGACGTTGTTCATTTTTTCCCTTGAACATGGTAAAATATGGAATTTCATGCTTGGCTGCAATGTATGGACATATCGAGGTTTAGTGTACATCCATGGATTGCATGGACGCGTAAGAAGTATGTATCCAGGGCCCTACGTGAACTGTTCACTGCCGATTGTTTCCCGACATTGATTTGCCTCTAAGCTCCACTAGCTTCTTTCTAGTTGGCTGTACGCCAAGGGCGCCAAGCATTTATTTGTGACTATTAAGCTCAGTCGGCATATTCTCGAGCTAATGTTGGGAAACGGCTAGCTCCAGGGCCATTAGCGCTGATGGCGGAGACTCGTATCGACCTTGAAATGTGCAATAGTACATCTTTATGTAACTTTAAATTTGGTAGCTTAGGAACTCCATTTCATCTAAGGATTCAATACCCCACGGTATGTCCGCGGAACATTTCCCCGCTATATATATATATAAAACCGCCGTATGCACATATGCCGTAGCTAGCAAACCCGAAAAAGAAATGAAAGAAGCAATACCCGCGAATCCAGCGGGTTGATATGCCGAAACCCGAAACTCAAAGAGGGATATCCAAGAGGTGGTCTAGTATGAGGACGTCGGGTTGGATAGACAAAAAGAGGAAATATAACCGAGCCACAGACGCAGTGGATGTTTAAGCCGCAGGTGCACAGAGTGGACAAGGATCAAAAGTCCTTGCAGTCTGAGTATCCTATATCGCACGGGGGCCACCAAATTAGTTTGATTTGATGGGCGAGGTTGTATGTGTCAAAGAAACCGGAGTCTGCAACCCACCATGGCCCTTGAAGAAGCGAGGGGCCGAGTACAATGTAGAATAATCGTATATTCTTCAGTACCACTGTTTACGCGTTAGGGAGTCAGGCGAGATCGGATGGACTGATGGCGTTGGAGTCATGCTGAGCAGATGGCGGGACGAAGGTGGTACGGTCATGGAGGGGTCACGAGCCGACGACAAATAAACCTGCTTTGGGGAACTACGACGAGCTGTAGCGGAAGAATTGGAGGCCGGGCCAGAAGAGAATGAGGATCGTCGGGATCGGACGGGGCTACGGGGACCGTGGCTCGCAAATGCTCCACCGAATGAAGATGACTCCGAGGACGCTCGGTGACCTGCAAGTTTGGGACGAAGCACGTATGATCGTTCGGGCTCGTCGTCACTACTTGACCCGATGTCGAATATGGCTCCGTTGAAGGATACTGAGGATGTACGACGCCGAGTCCTTGCTTTGGTTGGTATAGGCACTGGCTCACTCGACTGCGAGAGAGGCGGGTTCTCTAGTGAAACAGTGCTTCGTGCCTTTCTCAGTTCCCAGGCTGAGTGAGGTCGCGCTTGCTCGCCTGAGTGCCTCTTTCCCAGCTCGTGGCTATGAGATCCTGTTCGTCTGTCGCGATAACGTCCCCTTCCACTGCTGTCTGCCGAGTCAATCGAGCGCCGGTTAAAGTTTAGCATACGTAGATCAACCTCTCTCGGGCTGAAGGCTACCCGGGCCCGCATATTTTGAATCGCATTATCGAGTGCCAGCTCAATGGCGCAGTGGTTGCGGATACGGCTTAGTCTCGGCCACGTCGCCCGCTCGCCACTTAGACATGCTGAAAGCATGAACTCCGTTGTTGGGTTCTCCAGGAGCCGTGGGAAGTTGGAGGAAATGAGTTCCGGGTAAATGTTGATGTCTCCATGATATTTCTGATTCACAATAGAGGCAAACTTGGTCATTGATGTTGGGAAGACTCCAAGTTCCGAGAGGACGTTCATTCGATGTAAAACCTCGTCTTTAGCAAGGTGTGTCATCGTGTTCATCCATCGAGGGATGAATGAAGGGCCATCGGTTATCTCGTCTAGTGGGCCTGTTTCCTTTGGAAGGAATGGCACCACATGGGGGTTCACCTGGGAGACAATGAAATGATTCACGTTAAACATCTCTGATAACCGTGTCATGGGCAGATCTCCATCGACAGAGCCATCAATATACTGTTTGTGAAGATCATTCCACGGAACTGGTTCCCCTGTCAACGGATCTTTGGCCATCAACGTGAACGGTCTGAAGACAAACGGGACAGAGCATGATACCGCCCTTGAATGACGTTAGAAATGGGCCGAGAGGATGAAAAGGGGTAACTTACACAGCGGACCAAATCAGCACGTTGGGGGCAGAAATATAGTTCAACAGCCGTGGAAGCTCATACATGCCGGCACTCGACACACAGATGTTCAGGATTCTGCGGGTGCGGTTATAGGCTTCCTGAAAGGTCATATCTCCTAGCCAGTTCCTGATAGTTTTTGCCAAGTGGGATATGTCAAGGAATGATCCAAACTTCAAAAAGCGAGTCATCTTCTGCAGAATATTTTCCTCTTGGCCCTTCTCATTGAAGACGTCAAAATCGCCATGTACATAGGTATCCAAAAGCGCCGGCAGTTCTTCATCTGTGCGTGTGCAAAAGACCGCACACACAATGCTACCAGCAGAGGCACCTGAGATAATTCGAGGGATCATGTTTGCCTCATAGAGTGCCTTGAGAACTCCGATATGGGTCATACCAAAAGTGGCGCCACCAGAGAAGAGGAGTGCACTGCGACCAAATGCCTGTCGAGCTGCCAGCAGCTGGTCCAGGATATACTTCAACTCCAGTCCATCGCAGCGATCATGTACCGATAGATCCACCAGCGTGGCGATGGTCTCCACAGCCGTGGTAATATACCTATCAATCAAGTCTTTGGTGCCGATATGCGAATGGCGATAGAGAGAGGCATTGCTCATGTGCGCCAGGTCCCGACTCAGCGCAGTGCGCACCAGAAAGAGCATCTGGCTTACATCACAGCTGATGCGAGCGTCTTCCAACTGTCGCAAACGATTCTGTACCAAACGAGGGTCATATTCGGCGCACTCGAAGGTCTGCTTCCAGGTGTCGTTGTGCTCTAATTCATCTAGTTCAATGGCACAACTTCGCCATTCCTCGTACGACACAGCCTGCAACCTAAGGGTTAGAAGGGGTCACTCTGCAGATGCGATCTCCCGCTCCAGGTGCACCGCATGTACTTACATTCTTTATTTTCAGATATAGTACTTGTTTGCGATCCTCGATGTCCGCCCTTTGTTTCCGTTGTTCCTTAGAGAGGCCATCACGGTAGGTGTGCAGTGTATCACCAGCCCAATTCCACGAATCCTTCACGAGCGACGATACATTTGGTATGGAGATCGTTTTGCGGGGCGACCGCGGCGGTGGGGGTTGGGATAAAGGGTGTTCTTGGGAGTGTTTGTGTCCATGATGGCACTGAACTATTGTGGGGTCGCCCAACACCGACATCGCAAAGGCTGTGCATGGGGGGAGCAAGCCATGAAGCCGGGGTCTGAACTGCGGGGATATGATAATTTTAATGAAATTACAACAAAGCAAAGAAAGTAAATGAGTCGGTAAAAGACGAGATCCAAGTCAAGTTTGGGGGTGGCCTAACAAACGTCACGAGGGCTGGAAGCCAGTTTCCTCAGGTTGGGCCTCGGGACCACTTTGGGTTCTTTATGACGATTTCACTGCTCTACTTTACTATATTGCACCCAGCGTCAAATGATGATAAATTGAGGAAATTACGCTATTTTTAGGAGCTAAACCAAGGAAAGCGAAGTATTGAGTATGTACATAAATATGTACCTAGGGACTGACCTTCTCAAATAATTATTTGTGCCTAAATACCATGGGCACCAACCCCGTGGAGCCCCCGGCCGGGGGCTTCTTCACATGTGAGCTTCCCAGGGCTGATCTTCGGCTTGATAAGTCATCCCTCGATATTGTTTCGCTAAGTGCATGCATACATATATGGTCAGTATTCTAATATAATTGGACAGCCAAATAACCAAAAGCAGAAGACTATCATATCTGACAGAGCCATTCCTTCAGCGCATGTCTTGCCCGCACTTCGACCCCGTTCTCACGCCAGAAGTGACCCGCGCCATCAATCATCCTAAACTGGAACTGACTGTGTGGCATGTGCACCATCTCGTCTGACCACTTCTGCAGTTTTCCAGCAGATGTGAAGGTATCCTGATCCCCAAAAAGCGCCAGGGTGTGGTGCGTGCTCTGCTGGTCTGCTGGACGCGGGCATGGGATGTGGGGACCTCCGGGGGTTTCTGTTTTCACCTTCAGCGATAAGGTCGAGAATACAGTTAGAAATTGACTAATCGGGGGCAATAGCGGAGACACAAGGAGATAGGAGATAGATGTCGTCAATACACGGAGGTCTGGGGCGTCGGTCAGACTGTGACTCGCTTGGAGTTGCTGCAGGGACAGTGCGGTTATCCGTTTTGCTGTACTCATAATCTCGTATATGGGTGTTGTTTTGTTTGTAGATGTTGTGGGCGCAGATTGGAAAAGGTCGAGCATAGTATCGAGGGTCGGTACATGTGAGGCAATCAAAGACCCATACGAGTAGCCACCAAGGACCAAACTGATATCTGAGCTACTTTTCTCTTCGCCGGGGTCTCTGTGGGGCTCTACTTGGTCCTTCGGGGCCAATGCAAGCTTCAGGGAGTGTAGATATTGCAACATGAATCCGTAGAACGATACATAGTCACCAAGCTCGGGTTTTGCAGTCCAGCTTGTTCGTCCTTCAGAGTGACCAGCTCCACTATATGTCCTTCGTTAGCAACTTCGTCATGGTGTGGAGTGTTAGCAATGGATGATTATACCGAAAGTTGAAGGTTCCCACGATGCAGCCGGCTAGTAGAAGCTCGCCGCCGATGAAACTGACGATTGGATCATCGTAGCATCCTCCCAGAGTTGCGTATGGATGCGCGATAATGGCACCGCGGTTGGGCCAACTTGTTGTTGATTCTATATTGTTGAGCACGGTCGGGAGGTAAATGCGGCATTCGAGCTTGTTGCCATCGTAAACAGACGGGAGGAAGATAGAGAAGCTTGGTGATGGAAGATCCATGGCAGAGTCTAGTTTATTTCATACGTTTTTGTTTTGAAATGCAAAGCTTATAGTTTGCTGTTAATAGGAGGAGATCAAGGGTGTGAGGTTTCGGTGGTCCGCCCACTCCAATAATTCGGAGGAACCAGACACAATTTGAACATCGTCTCTAGAGCCAAGCGTACGAAATACGAGTATATAGCGAGGAATATAGCGATAAATATAGCGATCTAATTTATCGAGAAATGTAATGGGTTATCACTAGAAATACATTTACATGACGAATGGCTGAAATTATCACTTGGTTTGAAGGTGTTAGGTAGATTGAGCAGATATGAGTCATTATTCATTTACATAAGTACAAAAGGTACTGATCAGGCCAGCCAGGATGGATCTGGCTCATCATCATCTTCTGGCCTAATATCCGAATGACGGGGGTCTGCATCCTGGAGCAAATCGGCTGGAGGTTCTGGGTCGTCATTTTCCAGTGGACCTACGCGCGAGTCCTCTTGACCCTCCTCGAAGTCATGGTCCAGTAGAGGATGATCTTTGGGCGAAGTAGAGTTCAGGGGTGCATCCTCTTCATGCACCGGGAGGCCGAAGGCGGGAAGAAGTAAACTCCTTGCTTCTCGCAGGGCCTCTAGCTCAGCTGCAATGCAGCAAACTAATAGCTTCCAATCCTTATCCTCGGCGAGCTCTAGATGTGATTCAATCCGGTGAGTGGTTCTTTCCAAATCATCCAGGATACTCTTCACAAGTCCTTCTCTGTAACCTGCCGGTGTGGTTCCTTCTGACTGGGTCGTTGGTGTGGTCATCTCAACATAATGTTGCATGTTGGCTTGTAAGCGCTTCTCAAAGCCAGTGACATCGGATACCGCTTGTTTCCATACACCGCCTCCGTCTTCCAATGCTAGTATTTCCGCATCCACTTTCTGTTGCCTACTGTGCAAACTGACTTGTTCAGTCTTCCAATGCTCCTGGGCCATGTCAAGTGTGCGACGTTTGGGATTCAACGAGTGAAAGGTGGATTCGCCTGAGCTTTGCGATAGCGGTTGGATAGGAGGATCACGGAGGTAATTTCGGATGTCAGAGTCGAGTAAAGACAAAGATTCAGTGTAAGAAGAAAGCTTGGCGTCGACCGAGTTGCTAATCTGTGATATCTCATTCACAACATGTCGATGTTTAGCTTTCATCTCATACAACCTGGTCTCCAATTCATGAATGTCAGTCTCGAGGTTCCGAGCCTCTTCTTCCAGTTGCTTTGAACGTCGGCTCTCCTTGTCTCCATGTATAGTGGTAATGGCGTCCTCTAGACCATTTCTTCTCGACATGAAGCTTTGGATATCATGCAGTGCGTTGTCCCTTTCATTGGTCTGAGATGTGAGAATCTCTCGTTCTTCTTCTCGTAACTTCAGTAGATCATATATCGATTGAAATATGCCCTCCCGGGCAGCCCGAAGCCCGATTTTCTTGGGCGTGGGCTGCCTAGGGGGCACCGTGGAAGGGGACTGTGGCCGACTCCCATTGGATGGCAATGTTGGAGTCAAAGTCCTGGCTGAGATCTGATCCCGTTGAGGCCCAGCTAGAACAGAGAGAAGGCCTTCGCTTTGAGCATCAATAAGGAGTTGGAGATTGCGCTGTATGTGTTTTGTCTGGCGTTCAACATGTAAAAGAGGATCATGGTGATAAATAGAAGCCGCAGGGGGCACTGATGGCAGCCTTTTACTAAGAAAAGATTGGTGAAGAAGCGTCGACATGACAAAGAAGGAGCGTGGTCAAGCTTTAGACAGGAAGAGTTGAAGTTTTGTCGCGGCAGTGCTGGGTAGGAATAATGTTTAGTAGTTCCGGGACAAGGTCTAATCAGCTCTTGAAATCATCACCAGATCAGAAATAAAGAATGTATTCGCTAGCTGATGGTGAGCTGTTGACCGCGGACAGGGGCCGCTCGCAGCTGACCAGGCGCCATCCACGTGATCCTTCATGTACAGTCAGCTCCGCTCAGGCGTTGACGTTGCTCTCGCGCCAGCAAAGCTTCTGACAACTGCTCCCAGCTTCCATTCGTACGTACACTTCATCCATTTCGTCTCTTTCATTTAATCAACTTCTTTCTTTCTTGTCATATTCTCATTATTTGGGGTGACTGATTCCCCCTTGAAACCTTGTTCTGCGCTGGGGCTGATTCGCTATTCCAAGCTCTCTCCGATTGACGTTGCTTCATCACAACAGCAACAAAACACCTACCGTTCCTCAAATTCTCTCCAGCAAATCGTGACGCGTATCGTTTCTCAATAAATATGGTCGGACTCGTATCGGCCGCCGGTTTGGTTGGCTTTCTCTCCGAGCCTGACCCAGAGCTCAAGGTCTTTGCTTTGAAGACATTAGATTCCCAGATCGATCATCTCTGGACAGAGGTTGTCAACTCTGTTCCTGAAATGTGAGTTGTTCTTTTGATAGACTTGTGTGAATGAGCTTCATCTCGGTTGTTGCGTCATTCCTCCCGAGTCCGACCGGCTTTCAGGCCTCTGCTGACTATCCATCCAGTGAGGCTCTTTACGAAGATGAATCATTCCCCGAACGCGGCCTTGCGGCACTAGTCGCATCAAAGGTATATTATCATCTGCAGGAATATAACGAGAGCATGGTTCTTGCTCTAGGCGCTGGCAAGCTGTTCAAGTTGGAAAATGGCGGCGAGTATGAGGAGACCATTATCGGTACGTTGAAGGAGAACCATAGTATTGGCCCTATTTGATGCTAACATTCTTCTCCATGTAGCGAAATGCGTCGATACATTCATCTCTCTATCTGCCGCCCAACACGCTACTGCGGGTGATCAACCAGCCAATCTGAACACTGCATTCCCAGCATCGGGCGACGGTGCCTCCAGCACATCTGCCAGCCTCACTTCTCCTATCACACCTTTCTCCAAATCTGCACTGCCCTCGAAATCGTTGCTTTCTCGCGCGGAGGTTCCCGGCGTGGACGCCGCACACCCTGGTGGCGATGACACGAGCGTTCAGCATGAGGAAAACTCCCTTGTGCTGAAGCGTGGTGTCCAAGGACAATTGCAGACCGTCATTGAGCGATTGTTTGAGGCATGCTTCCGACAAAAGCGATACCGCCAAGTCATTGGAATCGCCATTGAGGCAAAGAGCCTGGATGTGCTTCGTATGGCCATCCTTCGCGCTAGTAGCGACGAGAAGCAGGAGGAGGGCGACTCCCGTGGCAGCGAGGAGCTCATGGAATATGTTCTGGACATCTGCATGGGCATTGTCCAAGAACGAGCCTTCCGTAGCGAGGTTCGTGTCCCCCAAAGATTTTACACCATTTGGCGGAGTCAGCTAACCATAACTTAATTTTTCTAGATCCTTAAACTAATTTTGGAACTTCTTAATGAAATCCCGGCACCCGACTTCTTCTCAATCGCGAAATGCGTTGTCTATCTTAATGAGCACTCGATGGCCTCTGCCATTCTTCGCCAACTGGTTGAGAAGGGCGATGCACGATCCCTTGCCGTTGCCTACCAAATTTCTTTCGATCTTTATGACAACAGCACCCAAGAGTTCCTCCAGAAGGTTCGACAAGAGATTGCTGAGCTTGTGCCCGAAGACGAGACCGAGAAGGAGAACAATGAAGAGGACAACGAGCCAAGAGAGTCGGACGCATTACTCGAAGACCAGGGAAGCTCTTCCCGGCCGTCAAATAAAGATTCAGATCTGCCAGAAGATGCGGTTACTGCATTCAAGAACATTCTCTCAATTCTCGATGGAATCAAGACCATCCAGTTGAATTTGGAATTCTTATACCGGAACAACAAGGCTGACATCGCGATTCTGAACAAGATTCGCGACAGCCTTGAGGCTCGCAATTCTATCTTCCACACTGCGGTGACACTTTCCAATGCGTTCATGCATGCCGGAACCACTCACGATAAGTTCTTCCGTGACAACCTGGAGTGGCTAGGCAAGGCCGTGAATTGGTCCAAGTTCACAGCCACTGCTGCATTGGGCTGTATCCACCGCGGCAACCTCAGCCAGGGCCAGAAGCTCCTCCAGCCTTACCTGCCCCGCGAACACATCGCTGGGGTTGGAGGCTCAGGATCTGTCTACAGCCAGGGTGGTTCCCTTTACGCCTTCGGTCTGATCTACGCCAACCACGGTGGCATGGCAGTTGACATCATTCGCGACCACTTCAAGAAGGCCACAGAAGAGGTGGTTCAGCATGGTGGTGCTCTTGGTCTCGGTGTTGCGGGTATGGCGACAGGCGACGAAGGCATTTACGAAGACCTGCGCAGCGTTCTTTACACTGATTCCGCCCTCAATGGCGAGGCCGTTGGTCTCGCCATGGGCCTCATCATGCTTGGTACCGGCAACATGAAGGCTCTTGAGGACATGATCCAGTACGCACACGACACACAGCACGAGAAGATCGTTCGCGGTCTAGCTATGGGTATGGCTTTGATCATGTTCGGACGCCAGGAAGCTGCCGACGAGCTCATCAATGGTCTCCTTGGTGACCCCGACCCAACTCTGCGCTACGGTGGTATCATGACCATTGCCCTGGCTTACTGTGGCACTGGCAGCAACAAGGCAGTCCGCAAGCTTCTGCACGTCGCTGTCAGTGATGTTAATGACGATGTGCGCCGAGTCGCCGTGCTCAGCTTGGGTTTCATCTTGTTCCGCAAGCACCAGAGTGTTCCTCGCATGGTCGAGTTGCTTTCTGAATCATACAACCCTCACGTCCGATACGGTGCCGCAATGGCGCTCGGTATCTCCTGCGCCGGCACCGGCTTGGACGAAGCCATCGACCTCCTGGAGCCTATGCTTAAGGACTCGACCGACTTTGTTCGTCAAGGTGCTTTGATCTCTCTTGCCATGGTTCTCGTTCAGCAGAACGAGGCCATGAATCCCCGTGTTACCAGCCTCCGCAAGGCCATGATGAAGATGCTTGGTGACCGCCACGAGGATGCTATGGCCAAGTTTGGTTGTGCCATTGCTCTCGGTATTATTGATGCTGGTGGTCGAAACTGCACTATTAGCTTGCAGACGCAGACAGGTAACCTCAACATGCCCGGTATCGTTGGTGTTGCAGTCTTCGTGCAGTACTGGTACTGGTTCCCTCTCACACACTTCTTGTCGCTCAGCTTCACCCCAACATCCGTGATCGGTGTTGACCAGAAGCTCGAAGTCCCACACTTCAAGTTCCACAGCAACACCCGCCCCAGTCTCTTCGACTACCCCCTGAGCAACAAGTGAAGGCTGAGGAGGCTCCGGAGAAAGTGAAGACTGCTGTTCTTTCTACCACTGCCCAGGCCAAGCGTCGCGCGCAGCGTCGGGAGAAGCAAGCACGCCGTGAGAGCATGGACATTGACCAAGCGCCCACAACACCCAAGGCAACTGATCAGCTGCTGGATGCAATGGACACGGACGATGTTGCTAAGGAGGAGGAGGAAGCCAAGGAGACGGAGAAGGCTGCTGCAGAGGTGCAGAAGAAGAAGGCAGAGCGGGAGAAGGTTGGGTACGAGCTAGACAACCTATCAAGGGTACTTCCAGCTCAGCTCAAGTATCTCACTTTCCCCGACCCGCGGTACGAGCCGGTCAAGAGGGTATGTTCATTCCGATTTGTCCCAATGAATCCAATGCTAACAAAATTGCAGCCCACTGGCGGTGTTGTCGTTGTTCTCGACAAGCAGCCCGATGAGCCTCGCGAGGTTGTGGAATTGAAGGCCAGCAAAGACGCTCGCCCACAGCCTCCTCCGACCGAAACCCTCCAGGACCGCCTGCAGGCCGCCATCGGAACAGCTGCTCTGCAGACCCCTCAACGGGCCGATGCTCGGGCTGCTCTATCCGCTGCCACCTCAGGCGGTGCTGCCGCTGGTGCCGGTGTTCTGACGGCGGTCGATGAGGACGAAGAAGGTGTGGAGGACGCACCTGTCCCTCACGAATTTTCGTACGAGTCAGATGGTGAAGAGCAGTAGGGGGTTGTTGCGGCATAGAATCTTGATGCTGGATGTATTACTAGACTAATCAGGCTGTCTACGCCGACGTGATCTATTTGGAGGCTAATATAGCTTTCCATCACTGTGATTGATATGAAAGTTCCTATGTTACTTTTAAATTGCCCTTCATTCTTGTTGTATTATATGCACTCAGTCATCCCCCAAACCCTTGATTTGAACATGCCGGTCAGACCGGTTTAGATGCAAGGGTTTAGGAAGTAGTGCACACGGGGTACATGTTGAAACCATGAACCGGACTTAATTGTACAAAGTGACTATTCTTGTATAGAGTTACATTTGCAAATAGCTGCGTCCGCAAATTTGGAGCATGAAATAGTCCAATTGCAAACCGGCCATCGTCACTACCGTGGATGTTCACATGCCCCGGGGAACCGCTTCTGACTCAGCAATCCACTTCCCTTCAAGGCTGTTAAGCCTCGGCATTTCCATTATGACGCGGCACGAGCCAATAAACCGTGTGTGAACGGCGATGACCGAAGTGATCAGCAGCCAATAAAACACTAAATAAAACACCGACTGCTATAACGTAAGGTCCCAAGGTCTACTTTATGTGGGAGCATGTGAACTGTTACCATGGATCATGCTCCGAGGCCCATTTGGTGCTTCATGTCCCATACTTGGAATATCGTCCGAACCTAGCGGAGATTGTTTCATTGCCCCATAACTCATATATTCCCCAGCTTCCCCGGACTTAAAAATTTCTTTCTCCTAAATATTCTTTGACCTTAATATAAATATTGGACGCCTTTTTCCTTTAACTCCCCACACACATCGTCATGGCAAAGACATTTAGCAAAGAAGATGTCGCCTCGCATAGCAAGGGCGACAGTCCCTGGATCATCATTGACGAAGATGTCTATGATGTTTCCAAGTTCCAAGATGAGCACCCTGGTAAGTAGAGTCATGTGTGCAGATGCATGGGAATCACATGTTAACATTTTGTTTGAACAGGTGGAAAGAAAAGTACGTTGGTCCGAGAGCATCCGTGACATCCGATAAATCCATATTAACAATGTGTCTCTAGTTCTCCAGCGAGTAGCCGGAAAGGACGCTTCAAAACAGTTCTGGAAGTACCACAATGAGGGCATTCTGAAGAAGTATAAGCCCAGCCTGCAGATCGGTTCATTGGATACGAAGAAGGCGGCACCGGCACCGCCCCCAGCCCCAGCCCCGAAGAAGGCTGCCGAGCCGAAGCCTACCGCCTCTTCGTCTTCCGTGACACCGCCTGCCACCGGCACGCCCCAAGACCCTTACGGAGAATTGATCCCCTTCGCCGACCCTTCATGGTACCAGGGTGTAAGTTTTGCTATCTGGCACAGATTCCAGTTTATGGTTGCATGGAAGCTAATCTACATGTCGCTCATAGTACGCATCCCCCTACTTTAATGAATCCCACGCCGCACTGCGAGATGAGGTCCGCCAGTGGGTTGAGTCCGAGATCGAGCCATATGTGACCGAATGGGACGAGGCCAAGGAAGTGCCCGCGAGCGTCTACAAGCAGATGGGTGAGCGGGGCTACCTAGCAGGACTGCTGGGTGTCCACTTCCCTGAGAAGCACACCCCGCACCGCGTGAAGTCTGTAGCACCAGAGCGGTGGGATTTGTTCCACGAGATGCTGCTGACCGACGAGCTGTCGCGTGCCGGCAGCGGTGGTCTAGTATGGAACCTGATCGGTGGCTACGGAATTGGCTGCCCTCCATTAGTCAAGTTCGGCAAGAAGGCGCTAGTCGACCGAATCCTGCCGGGTATCCTAGCCGGCGACAAGCGTATCTGCCTCGCCATCACTGAGCCTGATGCGGGAAGTGACGTCGCAAACTTGGGTTGCGAGGCCAAGCTTACCGAGGATGGCAAGCACTATATCGTCAATGGCGAGAAGAAGTGGATCACCAACGGTATCTACTCTGATTACTTCACGACCGCAGTGCGCACTGGCAAGGACGGTATGAATGGCCTCAGCGTGCTGCTCATCGAGCGCGAAGCTGGTGGTGTCAGCACCCGCCGCATGGACTGCCAGGGTGTGTGGTCCAGCGGGACGACCTACGTCACCTTCGAGGACGTCAAGGTGCCCGTGGAGAACCTGATTGGCAAGGAGAACCAGGGCTTCAAGGTTATCATGACCAACTTCAACCACGAGCGCATCGGAATTGTGATTCAGTGTGTGCGCTTCTCGCGTGTCTGCTATGAGGAGTCCGTGAAATACGCTCACAAACGCAAGACCTTCGGCAAGCGTCTCATAGACCACCCGGTTATTCGCATGAAACTCGCTCACATGGCCCGCCAGATCGAGTCCACCTACAACTGGCTCGAGAACATCATCTACCAGTGCCAGTCCATGGAGGATACCGAGGCTATGCTTAAACTCGGTGGTGCCATCGCTTCACTGAAGGCGCAGTCTACGCAATGCTTTGAGTTCTGCGCTCGCGAGGCTAGTCAGATCTTTGGTGGTTTGAGTTACAGCCGCGGCGGCCAGGGCGGTAAGATCGAGAGACTGTACCGTGATGTGCGTGCCTATGCTATTCCCGGTGGCAGTGAGGAGATTATGCTTGATTTGAGTATGCGCCAGAGCTTGCGTGTTCACAGCATGTTTGGCATGAAGCTATAAGCCATTTCTTTGGATGTTTTCGACTGCGGCGGTAAAGCGTGCCCAGATACATTTTCTTTTGCTACATTTGGCTAGATATCCTCTCGTCTGTGACGGCATTTCTTTTATTTTACTATGGTGTGCCTTGTACAATAACACTACATTGGCTTATATTTTGTATATTTCACGATTTATGGTGAACGTCGCCGCCTTTTTGGATATTTGCTGCATATACATGATTTTGATTCACAACTAAAGTCTCAGTGTCTCCATAGTTTGCGATATTAGATGGCTGTTATGTGTTGGTAAGAATAACCATGACCACGACCGACAACGAAAAGCAAGATTCAAAGAATCAAAGAAGATGCAGGAGGGCCTCATAGGTCTCCATGTCCCGACATCCCCTTCTTTGTTCTCGCCTCAAATCGCCGAAGTGTTCCCACACGAACACCTGACTGATACACTTCTTTGTCCAGGCGACTCAAGTATGGCCGAGGGCACAAATTATTCCGTTCAAGCCACCGACCTTCTTTTGATACCACTCCTTTGTTTTTCTTTCCTTTGGGGGATTCAATCCGTGGATTAGGAACCCCCTGACAACTGTTTCCATTGCGTCCGAAGCTCTCTGATACCAATCTATAATTAGCCCAAAGCATTGGGTTGACTTCCTTTCGACTCGAACGCTAGTGATTCGATGTGAAAGTATAACTCTGAGACGTGCCCGTCCGCCTATTTAGGAACCTCGAGGCAAGTTATTTGTGTCTATACCTTTGCTTGAAAATTATCTACCAACCCATTCACGATGTCATTACGATCGAAGGATATCGACGATGATGGGTATGACCTTGCAAGTGACATCGATCGAATGATTCAAGTTGTATCTGATGAGCATTCTGCCTTATCGCTCATACTGGCCAATTTGGTGACTCGACGAATGCGCGAATTCCAAGACAACGAGGACGATTTCACTGGCACTGGGACTGCTCCAACGGATCTCCTGGAAAGTCTTAACTCAAATAATGCCGACGGAGTCAGCCATGGATTCCTGCGAGACATAGCTTATTCCATGGATCTTACAACCATGCCTGACAGCTTGTTGGTACTGGTTCTCCCTATGCTGCTGCATGTTGATACAAAACTTCCGAGCCCCGAGGACCTTCACGCTATACATGAATTTGCTGAAGCATCGTCAATGCACCGAGAGCATGTGGAAACATGGTTGAGATCTGAACCGGCTCAAAGCACACTTGAACAGGTTTTCAAGCCATGGATGAACTACTACAGCTTCAAACCCGCGTATCAATGCAGGGAGGAGATTGCGGCTTACAAAGCTAGCCGAGGCGGTGCTGGGTTCAACTGTGCGTATGAATTCGTGAAAGAATGCCAATGTACAAGCTGCCTCTCACTTCTCGGCCGACTTGGGTTGATCGATTTCAGGAACTACGACCAAAATGGGAGAAGCTTTCTTCACGCAGTGATTGAGGGCGGAGATGTCGAATGTGTAATGTTTGTTGTCGCTATCTTGCTGAAAGGAGGCGTGGATCCTCGGCATTTTCCCACGTCTATCGATGGGATGTCTATTCCCCACCATGTCGCTTTATTGCATGACAATCACGTCTTTAGGGGAGTCGTTGAGTTTCTAGAGGATGCCGGCTACCCTCTATCTGTGTGGAATGATGATGGCCTCAAGCTCGAACTGTGCAGCTTCATCACTGCCGAAATGGCCGAACGGCTCCTGTCCAAAGGATTCAATATCACTAAGCTCCCCAGAAACACACTACCAATGTATCTACCCAAGGAGGATGACCCCGAGTACGAAGAATCAGGCGAGGAGTGGAACCGCGATGCAGAATATGGTGATCCGATCATCCGGAACGGAGACTTCGATCCCGATAATGACACGCTCGACCCAGGATCGATTCAATATGATGCCGTTGGAGTCAATCCCATCGAACTTCATCCTACCTCTCGAACCATCTGGCACCGGGCAATCGAGAACCCCGAAGGTCCACGAATCCTTGACTGGTTGTTGGATCACTCGTATACCCAGCCAGGGTGTCGAAGCGACTTCGACCGAGACTCCGGTGAGACTGCTCTGGTGGCTGGGGCAAGAGGAGAACAGCCAGCTGGCATTGATTGGTTCTGTCAACACTGTGATCCTATGGAAGGGCGGGTCAGAAGTTCCCAGGACACTGAAGGCGATGAGAGCACAGGCGCTTATGCGTTACAAGTAGCAGCTCATAGCCTGCGGCCACACTGTGATATCATTTTCAAAAAGCTTTTGCGTCATGGGGACCCGCAGATTTACTGGGACGTCTCTATGATCAAGGGTTTGTATTGGTTGATTATCAAGAATTATCGAGATATGTACCAAAGATTGGAAGATCACAAGGAGCCAGGCCGAGAGAGAGCTCAGCAAATGGCTCTCCTTCGCTCACTCACTTCGGCTAAAACCCAGGCGCTGAATAACAGACTGGAGCCTTTCTGGGATACTTGGGGGCCGTCGGAACAGCGAAACTGGCTCATTCAGTATTGTGCGATTCTTAGGTTAAATTTCCTTGTGAAAGAGTTAAGTTCAAATGATTGGGATCATTCCGATTAAGAGTTTTGAGAGGGTCAAGATAGCCAGATATCATGGTGGAAGTATACTCTTGAAACCAAGCAATACAATGAGGACGACCCGGGTCACTTGGCTCCTTGGATATATGTATGATCCTTTTTACTGCTCTTTATGATGTTCAGTTTTCCTCTGAAGTTGTTGTTTGCAATGTCGATCAGAATATAGATTGACCTGAATATTCGCTTCCATTAGTGTAGTTGTGAGAACATTGTAGTCCATCCTGGTCAGCCTTGCTTGGCCTTGTACACCATAGGATAGTGTATACCGGTATATCGCAGTGGAATCAGAACATTTCTCAATGAGATTCATGTACTCCGTATGCTCTTTTAAGCTATAGGGCTGCAAAGGATGCAATTCCAGACTCATAAGGCGGCCAAGTACGGCGCGCCACAACAGCCAGTTACGCAAGGATTATGCCTCTGGGCAACTCGACCTCCACGCTCCGGCACTTCAATTCCTCCTTTGCTCATTCTCAAGCTACCCCTTACGAGCAGTGCTATAAAATTGCAGCCTGCTTTGTGGTGTTTCTTCTTTTTTCAACGAACCCCGAGATCTCCATTCGGATCCGTGTTCTTTGTAGGCGGTCGCGGAACTCGGTGATTGCCCGCACAGCTCGACTGTCTGCTGTGCTCCCTCTTAACTTTCCAGTCGCTTTTCTCTCGTCTCGATCAACCTCATTTGACTTGACGATACTTGGAATTGGCTGTCTATCGGAAAATATTGGACAGTTTGCATCCTCGCATCTACGTCCTGTCTTTCAACCCGCAAGTTGTAGCGCGCTTTCCTTGAATAAGGTTTGTCTTCTCACATGTCCTCTTTGTGTTTTCAGTTGCTGAGTCTCCTTGTTATTGATAGGAATCTCACTATATCTTAACTCCAAATTACAACGTGCGAAAGAGGTGCGACGAGATCATCTGCAATAGCCCGAGACACTACCTGCCAAAATGTCGAACTTTCTCAACCACGACTTCGGGTCTGATGATGAGGAGGATGATTTCAACCCTGCTCCCCAAGAAGAGTCTGATGCCGAGGAATCGAGATCAAAGGTCAGTCTACAGACACATGCCAAGCTTCGATGGACAATGCACTAACAAATGAGTGCAAACAGCCAGCCAAGAGAGAACAGTCAAGTGGGAATGGCGCTAATGAGGAGAATGATGTGAAGTACCCACGCGATGTACATGCACATGAGGAGGAAGATGCCAAGGATGTTGAAGACGACGACGAGGAGAATGAACTGGACGATGACGACGAGGAGGAAGAAGAAGAAGATGAGGAAGAGGATGTGGTATGTTCTCTATGGAGACCTGGTAATGCATGACAGATTTGTTAACTTATAACCTCTAATTTAGGCGAGTCGTCCTCAAAAACGAGCGAAGCGCGTTGCCAATCCATTCATCGAGGACGAGGCCGGCGTCGATGATGAGGAGGACGAGGGCGATGATGAGGAAGATGAGCTCGCCGAATATGGCATGGAAACACATCCGGATGATCTTGATGCACTACCCCAAGGCACCGAGACAGACGACCGCCGCCATCGACAACTGGATCGCCAGCGCGAGATTGATGCCAGCATGGACGCAGAGAAGCAGGCCCAGATGCTCAAGGAAAGATATGGACGCAACCGTGCTGCCGCCACAGATTCTCTTGTGGTTCCGAAACGACTCCTGCTTCCCAGTGTGGAAGACCCCAGCATTTGGGGTGGCCGCTGCAAGCCTGGCAAGGAGAAGGAGGTCGTATATTCAATTCAGAAGCGAATTGAAGAGCGTCCGGCAGGCTCCCGCAACCCCATTCGAATTATCTCGGCTTTCGAGCGCGGAAACATTATGCAGGGCTGGTTCTACTGTGAGGCGCGCAGGCAAGCCGATGTTACGGAAGGCTTGGAAGCAATCAACTTTTACTATCCATCCCAGAAGCTGACCCTGGTTCCCGTAAAGGAGATGCCAGATCTTCTTCGCGTTCAGAAATCAGAAGAGCTTTTGCCTGGTGGCTGGATTCGCATCAAGCGTGGCAAATACATGGGCGATTTGGCCCAGATTGAGGAGGTCGAAACTAATGGATTGAATGTTACTGTGCGACTTGTTCCTCGACTGGACTATGGCATGAATGATGATACTTTTGGTGCCCCTACCGATGCTAAGCGCAAACGCGGTGCTGTGAACACCGTCCGCCCTCCCCAGCGCCTGTTCAGTGAGACAGAGGCGAAAAAGAAGCATGCGAAATATCTCTCGTCTACTTCTGGTCTAGGCGGAAAATCATGGAACTACTTGAACGACAACTACGTCGATGGTTTCCTCATCAAAGATATGCGTGTCCAGCACTTGAATGCCAAGAATGTTAACCCCCGGCTAGAGGAGGTTACAATGTTCGCGCGCGGAGGAGAAGATGGAACTGCTAATTTGGATCTGGCGTCGCTGGCCGAGACTCTGAAGAACTCCACCGCTGAAGACTCATACCAACCGGGTGATCCAGTGGAGGTTTACCGGGGTGAACAGCAGGGTCTTATTGGTCGCACAGTGTCAACTCGAGGTGACATTATTTCATTGCAAGTCACCGAGGGCGAGCTGGCCGGTCAGACAATTGATGCGCCTGTTCGAACCCTCCGTAAACGATTCCGGGAAGGTGATCATGTCAAGGTTATTGGCGGGAGTCGATACCAGAACGAACTGGGCATGGTCGTGCAGGTCAAGGACGACACTGTCACTCTGCTCAGTGATATGAGTATGCAGGAGATCACAATTTTCAGCAAGGATCTTCGACTTTCTGCTGAGATGGCTGCCGATGGACAACTCGGCATCTACGATGTTCATGATCTTGTCCAGCTTGATGCCGCCACTGTTGCATGTGTCATCAAAGTGGACCGAGAATCCCTCCGCGTGGTGGACCAGAATGGCTCTATCCGCAACATTCTTCCTACACAAATCGCTAGCAAGATTGCTCCCCGTCGTGATGCTGTAGCTACTGATCGCAATGGCGCAGAGATTCGAAGTGGCGATACCGTTCGCGAGGTTTACGGAGAGCAGCGCAGTGGAGTAATCCGCCATATCCACCGTTCGTTCCTTTTCTTGCATAACAAGGCGCAAGCCGAGAACGCCGGTATCTCCGTGGTGCGGACAACCAATGTTGTTACTGTATCAGCAAGAGGCGGTCGGCCCACTGGACCCGATCTCACCAAGATGAACCCTGCCCTGGCGATGAAAACTCCTGGAGGCGGCGCTGGAATGCCACCACCTCGTCGCGGCCGCGATCAGCTTATCGGAAAGACCGTGACTATCCGCAAGGGTCGTTATAAGGGCCTCGTCGGTATCGTCCGCGACGCAGACGACGCCTCCGCTCAGGTCGAGCTTTACACCTCCAACAAGCCTGTGCACATCCCGCGTGATATTCTGACACCTAAAGAGTATGTTCTTCCTCTATTGCATTTGATACGCAGTCTTTCTAACTTTTCACAGTCCTATTTCCAAACAACCCCTCTCCATGGGCCGTGGAAGAGGAGGAGGTGGCCCTGGAGGGCGAACTCCGTACACTTCTTCGGGCGGTCCTGGGAGAGATAGTTGGGCCGGTGGTCGCACACCGATCGCCGCCGCCGATTCGTCCAGAACCCCCGCTTGGAATGGCGCTGCTGCCAGAAGTAAGTACATACATCCTAGAAAAGTTGGCGAAGATGCTAATCATCCTATAGCTCCTGCTTGGGGTGGCGTGAGTGGCAGCCGTACTCCGGCCTGGAAGAACGACGGCTCTCGTACCGCGAACCCCTACGAAGGAAACCGCACCGCATATGGAGGAGTTGGCAGCCGCACGCCGTCCTGGACCTCGGGATCAAAGACACCATATGACTCGAGCTCTGGCTTCGACGCCTTTGCCTCTGGATCACGCACTCCTGGATGGAATGCCGGTGGCGCAAACCCAGGAAGCCGCACACCTGGCTGGAACGCTATGTCCAGCGGCAGAGACCAGCGTGATTTCGACGATGCCCCGACTCCTGGTGGAAACTACTCAGCCCCCACCCCTGGTGCATACGCTGCTCCGACTCCCGGCGCACCAACTCCTGGCGGATGGCCCGAAAGTGCCCCCACCCCTGGTGGAGCTTTCAGCGCGCCCACTCCCGGTGGCCCCTCAAAGCGAGACTATGACGCTCCAACCCCTGCGGCGTTCGATGCGCCCACTCCGGCAATGGGTGGAATGGCTGCTACGCCTGGCGCTGGGTATGGTGGTAACGACGGCGGTCCGCGGTACGACGATAGCCCCAGTCCGTAGTTCTTGTTCTCTTTTCTTCCAAGTACCAAAAGCTTGTCCTTTCCAACACACCTTTAAGATATCAAACGGGATAGGACCGGTTTCACATATGTATTCTACCTTTTGAATTTATTTTCCTTCAGAACAGCAGATGGCGTTAAAATGATATTTCCTAGTCGCTGAACTCGTATGATCTTGCACACTGTTTCTCTAATACCCCTGAATATCCCGAGCACAGCGAGCTGAACAAACTTCTGCCTGAGACCTACCCGAGTAGGCAAATTGCCATCCACCAGGTATATGTATTCCATTACTCCTTGCCATAAACGGCCAATGCCCGGTCAATGATATCCGCCGCCCAAAGGCACTCCTCATCTTGGAAGCGCGGTGTGATGATCTGGATAGCACATGGGGCACCATCTACCTCATCGGGGTGATCTGGTATCTGTCAGCAATCTATTCGATAAAAGGGGACGAGTTCACTGACAGTCCGGCTGCGTATTAGCACCTGTTGTCATAGGCTCGGGATCAAGCTCTTTGGACGCTTTTCCAAATGGAATAATGCATGCGGGATACTAGATTGGCAGAAGTCAGTATATGCCCTAGAGGGTCAAGGCAAAAACAGCGGAATGAGACAACACCAAAGACTTACATCCAAGACGTTCCATATCACCGTATAAGCAGGCCATCCATACGTATCGTAGGCCACAGCTGTGCTCTGAGCTCCAGGAGCCAGAATCACATCAAGGTTCTGATTCACCCATGTCTGCCTCCAGGCATCGTGAACTCGCTGGCGAGCCTCATGCAACGCCGTGATGGTTTCAAACGTTCCTAGACCTTGCTGGACAGGGAACGGACCAGAGAAGGCCGGCGACGCACCCGCAGCAACCGAAGCCACAGCGGGCTCGCCACTGGCCGCAAGAAAATCAGTGTGCGGGCCATACGTAAGATACTGAAACGCAAGACGCGACACATATGCCACACTCTGTGTTTCATCGTCACCACCAAGTCGGACGATACGATGTCCTGCGCGCGTCAACGCCTCAACCGCCCGATCTAGAGCCCTCTTTACAGGCGGGTGGAGCGGGAAATGCTTATCCTCAGCAAGCACACCAATAGTCAAGTTTTCATTGGCGTTGGGAGGGATGCTTTGCCATGGAACTCCGATGGCAGTAGAGTCATATTTCCACGCATGGCCGTCGGCGATAACGGAACGCATCAGCAACTTGAGATCCGCGATGTTTTGTGCTAGCGGACCCACGGCTGTAATAAGTCCTGGAATCCCCTCCACGGCGCCAGAGACCAGTCCACCGAAGGGGATTCGGTCGCTTGTTGGCTTGAAGCCGTACACACCGCAGCATAGCGCAGGGATGCGAGTCGAGCCACCGACGTCGGTCCCCACGCCCAAAATCGATCCTCGGAATGCTATCAGTGCACCCTCGCCGCCGCTGGATCCGCCGGCCGTAAGGGTGGTTTTGAGTGGATTAAGGGTACGGCCAAAGATGTTATTATCCGAGTCTCCTGTCTGGGTGGCTGTTAGCTTCACATTCTGAGCATATCCCCGAGCCATTTGGTATTTTGTACCATCAGTGTCTGTGGGATGTTCGTCTTTACGTATAAAACCGCGCCTAACTCCAGCAGCATCTTCACTAGCGCTGAGTTTGTCTTCGCGGGTTCATTCTTAAGTAGTTCGACATATCCAATCGTTGACTGCACACCCTCGACACAGAAAGTGTCTTTTATACTGATCGGTAGACCATGTAGGGGACCAACAGGCTTACCCTCCCGCTGGAGATAATCATCCAGGTACTTAGCACGCTCCAGCGCCTGGGGGAAGAAAGTCTCCGTGAGACAAGATATCTACACAAAACATATGATAAGATCATTGCTCTTTTGTCCTGTCTGGAATACATCATACTCACAACCTGCTGTGCAATAGCAGCTCTCTTGCAAAACGCCGTTGTAACAGCCAACGAACTGGTCTGCCCCGATCCCAATTTGGCCAATAGCTGGCTTGCGGTATAATTTTCCGTCAGATCCAGTTCGACATCGGAGAGCAGACCACAGCGACGGGGAAGCTCAATATCAAGTAAACGCGGGGATTCCTGCGCGAGCGCCACATTTTCTGCGCTTAGAACCCATTTCTGGGGTATCTTCTGCTCGCATTCATGGCGTTTGGCGGCGACGAGGTCTTGCCAGTTGCTGGTTGTTTCAGATGTCATTCTGGAGATTGGATAGATGTTCTTTCGCTTTTATGGCAATCTTCCCGTATGTGTTCTTTCCGTGCTCAGCACTGCGGCATTTGTCCAAAAGATATGGCCTTGATTACTCTTGACCCCACCCCCACAGCCCCGCCGCCCCATTTGATATGGTTGGCGGTGTTTGGGGTGTCCGCCTGCCGCTTTAGGATAAGCTGGAAGCGGAAGGAGTCCAAAGCGCTCGAGCATAGGATGAAGCATAGATCCACAATGGCTTTGTTTTCATACCGTTTTTGTAATTTACTCACATATTAAATGGCCGATACACACTCTCTCTAGTAAAGCAAGCCCTCTATTGCTGGTTCAAAGTTACGGGTGGAGAGGCCCTGGCCACAAAAACAGTTGCTTTCGGCGTCAATTCGACAGATCCTCATATTTTGTAATATTTATGTTCTATAAGATATTGATGCTCATGTGTAAAGATCCCACTCAAACGAGAAGGTAGACCCACCGGCACGTTATCTTGAACTCTATCAGATGGGGCACATAATGGACCCATGGCAGGTGCTTCGGTGGCATCCAGTGAAGGGCATGGAAAATATATTAGCTCATTATTTGAGTATTCAACCTCTGCGAGGTACAGTCCAACAGGTCACTTCTTATTGATATATTGGACCTTGCTACTTCTCGGGTCTTTCCTTTTTTTATTCTCTCACGTTCCTGAATCTCGCGTAAGACTCGAGGCGTCTCATCTTCTACTCTTGCGCCTTTACTTCTGCCCTTTCACATACATCTCTTTTTTGACTTCTCTACCACACATCGCTCTTGACTTTATTTCAATCAAAACAACATTCTACCTTATACTGTGGCTCCGACCTTTCACCATGCCTTTTGTTACAGATGTTCTAAAAGACACTTCGTTTTCAGCCTCTGCTAGACAGCAAGCTCTCAATCGCATCTTTTCCGACCCAGGCCTCCCCCAGACTTCGACAACCTCGTCGTTCTGGACCCAGGAGAAATACAACTTTAGCCAGGGAGCTGCAATGTCTCTGCCCAAGGAAGCCGATGTTGTTATCATCGGATCTGGGATCACCGGAGCATCTATTGCGCGGACCTTGCTCCAGAGCCGCGCTTCCAATCCCTCTTCCACCTCTCATCCATCAGTTGTCATGCTCGAAGCCCGCACAGTTTGCAGCGGAGCAACTGGCCGCAATGGCGGTCACATCCTGGAGACAGCTGACGAATATGCCGAGTTCGCTGATGCTTTTGGCGTGGACGCAGCACGTAAACTTGTCCGCTTCCGATTGGCACATCTGCGGGAGATTCTTGCTGTCGCAGAGGAGCTTGGCATCACTACGGAGACACAAGCACGAAAGGTTCAGTTTCTGAGCGTTTACTTTGGCGAGGAGCCTTGGCGGGCGGCGATGGAGCGAATGCGCCGGTTCAAGGAGGGGATGCCAGAGGAAGCTGCTGAATGGACATCTTATGAGGGAGACGCTATCCCGAGGGTACGTTTGTATCTTTTCCTAGCCACCCAAAACGCCGATGCTAATGTTCTTTCCAGGAGTTGTGTTTGACTCGTGCCCGAGGCGTCGTCGCCGGCCCTGCTGGAGCGCTCTGGCCCTACAGATTTGTCACCGGCGTCCTCAAACGACTCCTTGCAGACTTCCCAGATGACTTGCGCGTCGAGGAAAACACCCCTGTGACCGCTGTCTACGATGAGACTTCCTCCAGCGGCCCAAGATACAAGATCGAGACAAGCAGAGGCACTATTACCGCCCGGCACGTTATCCACTGCACCAATGCCCATGTCAGCCACCTAGTACCCGGGTTCCGGGGCAGAATCTTCCCCGTGCGCGGGCAGATGTCCGCGCAAACCCCTGGCGACAAATTCCCCAACCAGGCCACGAATCATTCATGGCTCTTCAACTACGACCGCGGATTTGACTACATGACTCAGCTACCGGAAGGGCAGATGATGCTTGGCGGGGGCTTCGCACAGAGTGAGGCTGGCGGCCTAGCAGAGATGGGCGTCTCGACAGACTCTGACCTTAGTCTTTACATTGATATCCACTTGTCTGGGGCTCTGCGTGCTATCTTCGGAGGTACAGACTGGGGCTGTGTGCAAGGCGACCCAGTGCAGGCGATGTGGACTGGTAATATGGCGTTCAGCTCCGATGGGTTCCCTTGGGTAGGACGGTTGTCTGAGACTGCGACTGGTCGCTCCGAGCATGGGTCTGAGGGAGCCGAGTGGGTTTGTGCTGCATTTGGTGGGGAAGGAATGGTTCAGGCTTGGTTTAGTGGTAAGGCAGTGGCGACTATGCTGCTTGCACAGGATGCTTCGCTGAGTGAGACTGTCAGTGCAGATCTTTCGTGGTTCCCTGAGCAGCTGCTTATGACAGAGGAGAGGTTTGCCGATGCAGTCTTGCCGAAAGAGGCTGTTGATGACGTGCACAAGGCGAATCTTTAGATTGTCTCTTGGGCTTTTGTACATTAGATTTGCTATTTCTTTCAATATTTCTGCTCGTCTGACTACGCAGTTTTTTTTTAGCCTATCACGTTTGATAGTTGAACAAAAGAAAATATGTTTCATGCAATCTTACATTGTTCTTAGTCCTATTAGTGCATGTGAGTTAGGGCTAGGGTTTCATATGCCTATCTCAGGCGTTCCATGTTCTCGGCTTAACGAGGAATGTGAAACCAATCATGACCAGTGAAAGGGATGTGTCTCGTACTCCGTATCATGTACAGTATCAAGGCACCTAAAAGCTACTGTATCATTTCGTACAACTTCGTCTCTTTGGAAAGACCCCGTTATGTGAATAAATTCAAGTTATTGAGATTATTCAAACAAATCCCGGGGGGCCCAGTATCACCCGACTTCCAAACCGCCTATATTAACTCCAGTATCGAATCCTAGGTAGCTAGATTTCACTAGGACGTTCCAACTGCCAAGACACCTGCAATATTCGGCCAGATCCAGTGCATTCCCTATAATCCAGAAAACAGCATAGCACTCATCAACAGAGTGAATGCAAATTTTGACTGTGAATGTGCCTTGCCCTAGAGATTGCACCCAACATGATAAGCCCATGAAAATAGCCGGTGGAATACAACCGAATCTCGGGCTCGTAATAGACCTTCCATTTTGCCTAGTACAAAATCAGGTGGAAAGGAACAGCACTTTCTTCTATGCATAGAGGATGTCTCCCCTCTTTCAGGCTCTTCTTTTAGGCGCCTATACTAATGATCTTTAGCATATAACTCGAGTTTCTCATCAGATTAGCATAAAGCGGTCGTAGATTTACATATCCATCCATAAATTACAGCAACCCCATCTCCAGACCTCTTTGTCGAGCCAACTCATGCACATTCAGATTTGGATCTTCTTTCTGCCATAACTCTTCCAGCAGACTAAGCAGAATTTGACACTGATGCGAGCCTAGCAATACCTTCCTGATGGGTTGCTTCCATTCCGGCTTGCGACACAGGACACCGACTTCTAATCCAGCGACAAATAGAGGAAAAAGAACTGCATTCTTGATGAAGACATCTTCCGTCGGGCGTTCAGCTGATGCGAGACGGAGAGCATCAAGACTAGCCAGGATCCGCGCAACAAGAACAGATGTATCTGCCGGACACTTGGCAGGCTGTCGCCATGTCGAGATATTGTTTTTGGGAATAAGAGTAAAAGAGTTAGCTTGTTTTCTGACAGTCAGAATACCAGCCAGTCGATGCGCCTCCCACAAATAACACTGTAAAAAGCTCCCTGTCTCGCCAGGCCAGTCCCAGAGACTCAGCTCCGTAGTCTCTGCGCCGACCCCAGCAAAGAGGTCAAGTAGTGTACGGGGAAGACCGCTGACGGGCTCAATACCATACCTGGGTGCCGCGGGCTGGCAATACCGGCGCCAGATACCAATTTCTGGAGCCTGACGACCGACAGAAAAGCAGGTCAGGTCCATCAACCCCATCACCTCGAGGAGGTGGATACGAAAGTGAGTTTGCGTAGGTTGGTGGTGCAAATCATCGAGACCGTGGCTCTGCAGGATGTTGTGCATACCTTCTAAATGCATAGTCCAGGAGAAGCCGTGCATCAACTGGAGGGGATCAAATCAATGTCAGAACCAGATAACCGACACAAGTTAAGGTGACGCACGCCAATGCTACACAGCAGCAGCCCCGAAGTCAACGTCCCATCGGATAGGGTTGTGCTGCACGCCAGTTCTGATCGAAAGGTTTTTAACGCGGTGTCAAAGTACTCGCAGAACTGAGAGGAGACCGAACTCGACAATGCGAGTTGGAATGCAATGCAGATAGGATACAAGGCGCTGGATTCTCGACAAAGCTGCGGGAGACGCGGCTGAAGCAAGCTATCTCTTGCTGTTGTCGAATGAAGCAAATTAATGCCGTTATTCATAACTACTCGGTATCAGTATCAGCGTTGCAACCAGTATACCCAAATGGTTTGCGAACTCACATTCATTGAAAAGAGCCTCATCCTCAGCCACCCTCTGCGACACCGCCAGCTCCAACCCCCGACTCCCATCCAAAGCTACGCACCAAAATCAATACCGAACAACCGCATCACTCCATAAACACTAACCAGAGTCTCTCTCCAGCTCCACTTGCTTTCTCCTCTCCCTACTAAGATCCCTCTGTCTCCCCCTCTGCCTCGGTGGCACAGAGCTTTTAACCGGTTTATCAGCACCAGTAAATTGACCGCGCGACGCTATCCCTGTATTCCATCTGAGTCGAATTTCATAGCCCTCGCATGCAGCTCCACGCTCGGAACAATTTTTGCACGAAGGCCGCGCATTATCGCAGCGACGGCGCCGGCGTTTACATGTCCAGCAGCCCTGGTGTGAACGGGTCGACATGCCGGATTTGGGAAGCTGTACTTGAAAGCGCGCGGAAATGTGAATGGCCAGGGGGCTATTTAATGCCATGCGGGGTCATGCGGGTTGCTGATAGCGCGTCTGACTGCCTATTTGGGATAGCTCGTATCGTATAGTTCAGATATGAAGATCTTTCATAATAGCTGTCTTCGATAAACGACCGTGATGAGAGTGATGAGCCTAGGGATGTATACTAGATTCAACAGTGGCATGGGCATAAATCCCAGATTATTCTGCATGACTACTTTTGGCTACTTTGAACGATAAAACACACAGAAATTCAGCCATACCGCGACCAAAAATGATGAATGATGAATTGGGATATTCCTGGTCTAGGTAACGATGTCCCTTATAGAGAGACAACATAGAACCCATGCACGCTGTCTATTGCAGGGAGTACTTTTTTTTTACCACAAAACCAAATGAAAACCATATCTGCAGTAAACCACAAATCAAACCCCAGTGAAGCCTAGAAGAGAAAAAAAAGATACATAATACAAAGCGGCAACGACCATCATGGCGGCACCGCTCGAGCCAGCAGACGGATATTATCCACAAAGCCCTTGACGAGATCCTCGTACTGGTTCTTGGGATCGCCCGACATAGCAAGCTGGCCCTGGCGACGAACTTCCTCAGCCGAGAGTTCAACTTCAAGCTCGTGATCAAACTCATTCTTGCCCGGTTGTTGCTGCGGTATGGTCAGAAGACTGTTTGCAAGGTGACACGGAACATTTGAATAAAACTTACATCGGATTTGGCTACTTGGGTCAAATCCACCTGGTAGGCCAAGTGGCGGTAGCTCATGCGATCTTTGATGCGATCGCCTCGTCCGCCCTTTGTGACTGCCGTATCTATCATTGGGAGATTGCTGACGTCGCCCGTGTATGCCATTTCCAGATTGACACTGACGCGCCAGTCCACAGTCGTCCGTGGACTGCAGACATCTAGATCGGCAACTCGACATTTGACAATTTTTGCGAGGATTTCACCGGTTCGTTCATCGGTTGTCACCCGAACTTTGGGTTTGTGCCTCGGGTTCAAGTTTTGACGGATCACCGGGGGCAATTCAGATGCTTGAATCTCATAGAAGGTGTCGCGTTCTTTCTTGTGCACGTATGCAAGTGGGATTCGGGTCGAGTTTGGCTGGGGCATCGACGCTTTCACCGCCTCATTCAGGAAATTATTCATGGCTCGGTGTTGTTCCTGTGGATCGTGGTAAGTAAGTCTCATCGGGGTCGAGGCATCCTCACTAGGACATTAGGGAACCGACTTACCACAGTCATGTTACTCTCGAATGATGTCCGAATTCGTGCATTCTCTCGGTTGAGGACGCTCTCGGTTAAAATTGGAAGGTTGATCCGGTCTCTGCTGTCCATGTCGATGACATGGCCCAGTTTCGCCTCAATCTCGACGATAGTCCCCTGGCCAGCAGCAGCCGAGCCTGTCGGTCCGGCATTCACATCATTTCTCATGACCACATGTTGAAACAAGAAATCACAAAGGGTTTTTGTAATCTCCTCGTGTGGAATGAAGCCAGTAATGGACGGCTCCCAGGGGCCCAATGAGCCTACCACCTGCGAAGTACTCGGTGGACGAAGTAAGGGAGCAGGCGGAACTGGGGGAGCTTGTACGCGAGGCATATTTGTGCTTGGTGAAGCAACAGCAGGTGCTCGTGTGACTCGTGCGGCGGCGGGTGTGACTGCCATTATCGAGGAAGAGCGTCTGCGAGCAGCCCAGGATGGGTCCTGTTGGCTCTGTCGTGCATGTTTTGGAACTGGGCCACGGGGATTGGGAATAATCGGGCGTCTGCTTGTGTTGCGGGGCGTCAGCCGAGCATAGATCGGGGGCTCGTTGTACCTCCTTCTCTTTTGCTTGGGCTGCTGGGCATCGACGCGTGGTTCGTGGTCGACTTCCATGTTCACGGCATGGGCGCCTCCACGAGGGCCGGAGGGTGAACTGTTCATTTGACGGCCCGGTGCCAATGGGGAGGTCAAGAAATCTGCGGTAGGCTTTTGTGCAGTGGGACTCTCAACCAGCATTCGGTCTTCGGAAGAACGAATTTGACCAGCGGTCGCTGACTCGGAGACTGTGACGATGGTGTTGTGGTGGGAGATGGATTGAGGACTGGCGCTCTCGGTTGGCTCTTGCTTTAAGCCGCCCGACAGCGGGTGAGTCGAATCAGAGGGCTGAGAACTATGCGGAGAGAATTGTCGCTGAGTCACAGGTGAATGCGTCGGAACCTGATCTCGTATTGGGGCTTCCTGTGTGGGCCTCGGGCTGGATAGGGGATTGCCGGGGGAATCGTGTCCGGAGGACGGCGGGCGGGCAGTTGATGGCGACTGGCGGGTGGCAAAGGTAGGAGGAGGACCGAGGGGAGTGCCGGGAACAGATCGGTGTGCAGTAGGAGAGAAGTGCTGCGATGGAATAGGTTGTGATAGAATTGGTTGCGATGGAAGAGGTTGCGATGGAAGAGGTTGCGATGGAAGAGGTTGCGATGCAACAGGAGGGCTGCGAAAAGATTCGATTGGAGGTCGGGGTGTTGTCACCACCGATTGAAGTGATTGAGAACGCTGTTGAGAACGCTGTTGGGCAAAATAGGACTGTTGTTCTGGGTGCTGCGGTCCTGCACTCATCGGCTGTGGTGTGTATGGCGAAACCAGAGGACCACCAGAGTGTTGGGGATGCGACCCGTATGCCTGCGCGCCAAATGGATCACGCGCGCCGGGACCATACGATGTCGAAAGGTGTGGAGGCGTCTGACTCCGCTGAGACCTCACCGCTGTATTAATCGCTGGACCCGAGTTGAATTGTTGGTATGGCGATTGAACGGATGCGTAAGGTGAGCTTCGCTCTGGAGAAGCGTGCTGTGGATGTTGCAACGAGGGAGGCTGGGGTGGACGTGTAGGATATTCTGAGTAAGAAGCGGCCTTCTTCGAGCGCTTTTGGGGGGTTTGATCGGATATGGGAGAACTGGCCGAGTTGCTTGGAGGTGGAGGATTGGAGGCGCCGCCGTCGGTGTTCATGATCGTGCGCAAATCCATCGTGACAGCACCCACTTCGGGACCACTTCGACCACGCGAACACTTTTATCGAGAAATGCACGCGATAGGAGATCACGACATTCAGATCGTATCGCAAGATGTCGGGGAGCAGAAAGAAGGCGGCGGGACAATGAGGGATGGACAAAGAGGAAGGGAGAAGTTCTCGAACTGCGGAATTGCGCGAATCAGGGAGCTGAGAGGATCGTCGCCGCTTTAGGGAACTTGCGACATCAAGGTCTAATGGTATATATTGTGTGTCGATTTGGATCGATTACAGAGATGTCTATGTTCTATGTTGGGAGCTTTGGAGCTCAAAAATGTCCAGCGAAGCTCCCATGGAAAACGGAGCTGGAAGTATGATGCATTCGGAGAGCTTAGTAGAGCGAGCTATGGAAAATGTCTACTCTCTTTTGGAAATCACCCAATCCATACAATTGTCTAACAGTCTTTGACGTGATATATGTGTTTTTAACTTCTTGAGTCTTCTATGATTGTAAAAAGGCCACGGTTGTGATTCTCGAGATGTCTTGGCACTGATACCTGAGGCATTGATCCCTACGCTAAGCTGTTTTAGGAACTATAAACTGTTCTTCCATCAGCCTAGGTCAACCTCGGTCAACCTCAGTATAGGAAAGAAAGATCGCTATTCAATGCAAATACAATTGTAGTGTCAAGCGGAGATAAACAAGCTCAAACTTATAATCTACTAAGTTCATAGCTTTATTGATTCCTAGACGCTTTGCACTTCGGCATCCCATCTTTCCGAATGCCTTCTTGTTTACCTACAGCTTTGTTTGCCAGAGGCCTCTTTTCTCAAGCCAATGCATAATATATATAGCTTGTAAATATCCTGCCTCTAAAAGCTCGATCCATCTTCCTTTCTCTCCCCTTCTCTCTGGGACATCCTTATAGGTGTCCTAGAACCTAATTACCACTGCTATAGCATCAAATCCATCAACCAACCCTCCAGGTAGGAGTTCCACTTTAGAGATATCGGAGTCTGCATTAACCTAACACATTTATATAGCCAAAAAAACGCCAAAAAAACGCCTTATGTTGAGCAATGAGTCTAGCAGCGAATCCACAAGCTCGTCTGAAGAGGCTAACACCTCTCCTCTTTGTGATTCAGAAGCTGTGGTTGTTGCCCAAAATGCTTCAGAGGGTAGGCTATTACTTAATATATTCAGTGGTGCTCAGATCTCCTTTTGTATATTAATTCTAATGCTTTCGATAGCCTACCCTACACTTGACACTGCAAGGAATCCAATGCTCGATCTTTGCACAAGTCGAATAGATAAAATTATTATTCTTTATTCACCTCCACTCCGCGATATTGACTGGCGTCTTGGTGATAAAAAGCAACTTCACAACATGTGTAGACGTCGAGCTGCGCTTGGTCAACGCTCAGGTACGGCGGCCTTGCCTGGACAAGAGTGTGAACACTGCATGCAAAAGCTAGGTCCTTTCAACTCTTGTGTTGTTCACCACCTGCAAAATTTTGGGAAACCTTTGTTTTCTGGAGCATGTATGAATTGCTCCTTTTTGAATCGAGCATCAAAGTGCAGCTTTCGGGGCCCTCTTGCTCCAGACTAGATCCTCGAGTAGACTCGCGCGAACGATTCTGATCGCCCCTTGTCTGGTAGTGTTGCTCAAGTTGCGGGACATATCTCTCTGCCTGCTCATACTGGCGTTCCTTTTTCGGTCCATCACGGATCAGATGCTTCTACTTCGGCTAGACCTAAGCAGCATGGTCCTGTGTACTCTGTTAAATGGTACAAACCCCCTTTGGATGGAAGATCGCTAGCAAAAGACATAAATGGCACGATTGCTGTTCGCGAGGAACTACGTGGAATTCGTGCTCGTGTGGCATATGATATCAAGAAGCTGTCTAAGTTTGCTGGAGACGATGGGTGGTCGGAGGAGACTCTTGAGGATAACGAGCCCGACCCATTTTACCATTCTGACTCTGAGGGTGGTGATGATCATACTGGTTCAGCACCTGCCAGATCTGAGAAGGTTGAATTAGAGGTTGAATCGTGGGATGTTAGTTCTTCTGATATCGATTCTGTCGATGTTGGTTCTCTCAGTGTTGGCTCTGTCGATCTAGATTCGGATGGCGTTGATGGTGATGTTGATAGTGATGTTGATAGTGATGTTGATAGTGATGTTGATAGTGATGTTGATGGTGATGTTGATGGTGATGATTCTGATGCTGACGAGTAAACGGTTCAGTTTCTTTTCTTTCTTTTTCCCCCTAAAATGCTGGGAAATGATATGACAAGTTCTACTGTTAATTCAGAGTAGAAGTAGATATGTATTACCCGTTTGATATGTCAGACATCTCTAGGACACGGGGATAAATATGTATGAATGTAATCGATCGTCTCATTTATAGTAGTTTTACGTCGAATCACTTTCTAAATGCGGTTTAACGAAAACGGCAATCGATCGGCTCCCTCTTTAATCTCGACTCTGACTCTCCTGCTCCCCTCCCCAACTCTCATTAACTCTTAAATTGCCGATTTCACGTCTTTCGCCATTTTCAGTGCGCCAATCCCAGTGGCGCTCAAAGGCCTCTTCCTACTGACGTATTTGCCCGAATTCGCCGACCTCCCGCATCATCGGCTTGCACATCGCTGAGCGAACTGTCCAGTTCTTTCTACTTCCATAACCTATACCGGAGGCTTCCCTTTGCCTGTTAGCGCATGTAAATTAAGGCTTTTGCCCCACTGGACATGCCCACTTGCGATCGGCCGACCTGCAGAACATAATGACATCCCACCACAAAGATCGGGCCACCACCTCAGCCTCCGATATCCCTTTGAAAGATCTCGAATCTGCCTCGGAATCCGACTCGACAATCACATCCCGCTGGAATGGCTTCTCTCAATTTCACCCCTCAAACATCCTCGCGCATCCCGAGGGGCTGGCACCGAAGATGTCGCAAGAAGACTGGCTAGCATATTCTGAAGACACATGGCACAGATTGACACTTGCGCTCACGCCAAGTTTCCTACAACACTTGGTTGGCAGTTCGCCACCTCAGCCTACGAAGCTCCACGCCATCGCGGCCCTAGACGGATTACGTGGCTGGGCCTGCCTGCTGGTCTTCAACTTCCATTTCCTCTTCACATACACATGGAAGGTCGCGATAGGATGGGGGTTTGGCGGGGAAAACTTTGGAGTTCACCAGCTGCCCTTCTTCCATATGCTGATCTCTGGTCACATTATGGTGGCCATTTTCTTCGTCCTCTCCGGCTATGTTCTGTCATATAAACCGCTGAAAACGATTCGGAGCAGGTCCTTCGATCAAACTTTCACCGTGCTGGCATCAGGAACCTTCCGTCGAGCATTTCGTCTCTATATTCCCGCAATTGCGGGGATTCTTTGCGTCTTTGTGGCTGTTCGCCTCGGGCTGTATAATTACTCCCTTGGCGTTATCAAGGAGGGACACACAATCCTCGGCACCAACGAGCAACATCCACATGTGTATAAATCCTTCTCAAAACAAAGCGATGACTTGTGGGTCACGTTGGCGACCTTGATGAACCCATTTGACTATGCGCTCTACTACAACTATTACAATCCGCACCTTTGGACGATTCCCCTCGAATTCCGATCATCCCTTATCCTATTCGTCGTCATCATGGGGACATCACGCTTGGCGGCACCTGTGCGCATGACCGTAGTTTCTGGCCTGGTCTGGTTCTGCATGCGTTATGGTCGCTGGGAGCTCGTCTTGTTCCTCTTTGGCATGCTGATGGCCGAAGTGGATCTCATTAACGGAACCTGGGAGCCATCCGCTCGACCGGTGGTAGAAGACGACAAAACAACCATTCGCTTCAGTCCCGGCAACAAAAACACCATCAGAGTCTCCCGCCGCGGGCTATGGGTCTCACTCTTCGTAGTCGGTCTCTACTTCGGTTCATGTCCCAACATCGGGTTCAAATGGACGCCTTTCTACAGCTGGCTGTGGCACATCACCCCCAAAACCTATCCAGAGCCGCACCGCTTCGCCCAGACTATCGGAGCCGTCCTCATCGTCTTCTCTATCAACCACTCCCCTGACATCCAGAAAATCTTCACAAATCGCTTCTCCCAATACCTTGGCAAGATCTCCTTTGCATTCTACGTCGTCCATGGCCCAGTCCTCCATTGTCTAGGCTATTCCATCATGCCCAATATCTGGAATCTCACCGGCAAAGAGACCAACTTCCAATACTGCCTCGGCTTCCTCATTGGCTGGCTGATCTGCCTCCCCGTCGCCATCTGGCTAGGCGATGTGTTCTGGCGCGCCGTGGACATCCCCAGCGTCAAGTTTGCACGCTCGCTCGAGGATCGTCTCATCTCCAAGGGTCCGGCATCCGGTCGTCCAAGCCTGGCCACCCACGCAGAGTGAAACTGTTTGTTGGCTAAGCATGAACCTGTTTATATTAGAATGCCGCTGGTTAGCGGTTGCTTTCTCTACCTTGTTACACCTGTACTCCTTATGATACCTTCTCGCTGGGCGAGCCATTTTGTCCATTTTTACTGCATCGGACCGTCGGTCCCTCCATGTTCCTACTACATTACTTAGACTCGTGATTGAGCGAAGGCTATCACATCATACCATCCTTGAACAGAAAATGAAAATATTTGAATATCCTACACAAGCAGTGAAACGGAAAAATTCAATAGCCCGCCGATTTATGTGGTTTCCGTTCGAAAAGTCAAACCCTTACGGTGAAGCTGACGCGTGTCATCAACCCTCGTTGTCTCGGAGGGCTATGTGCTCGTCGGGGGTAATGAGATTACAATGATTTACGTAGAATAGGTGGTCCAATGCCGTTCCTAACAATAGCAAATGATACATATCCAATGTATAGTCATTCATTCATTCACTCGTACCAAACAAGTCAGAAGTATGGTCACCGTCATTCCCAATCAATAGACACAAGAGTAGCCCATGGAGGTCACTGGGTTCTCACTCGACCTATGCAAAGAGCGTACCGGGTCAGGCATAGATAAACCGACCAGTACTGGCGAAGCACACAAACAGCAAAGCAAAGTAAAACAGATGCTGTGCGCACGCGAAGCAAGAGATCGCGGCAAACAGAAACAAATATCAGAGAGATTGGACCATCTAATGCAAGAGCCATGATTGTCATAATCTCTCAAGAGGAGGGAAGAGACGATATATGGAAATCAAGACCTCTTTTTTGGTTGGCTCATAACGCGACCCCCGTTAGTCCTCGTCCGCCGCACACTCCCAGCCATTCCCGTGGCTGGCCAGTGTGGTTAGGCCCGCCTTGTGGGGACCAGCTGATGTTAGAGACCTCGTATTCGCTCTGCCAGACGGCGGCTGGGCCGCGCTCCGAGGTTGTGGAAGGCGTTGCTCCTGGGGTTGCGGAGGGAGGGGAAGCGACCGGTGCAGCATTGTGCTGGTTGATGAGGTCCCAGAGGAGAACCATGCTGTCATCGCCGCCGGATGCAAGGATACCGCGACGGCTAGGAGACCACTCTACGCAGTTCAAGGCAGCTGAGTGGCCCTTCAGTTCCAATAGGGCTTGGCCTGGTTGTCGGACGTCGAGAACGCGGACAATACTGGAGTCCTGCGAGAATGTTGCCAGGAGATGGGCATCATGGGGGGATGCTGGGAGATTGTGTTAGCTTGTAATTATACTGTATGCTGTGGTTATTTTGTCCATACCTGCAATTCTCAACAAAGGAGGAGGGTAGAGGCCGGTCTGCGATTGGCCAGGGGGGCTGGAGTTCCCAGGGCTCATCACTGCTGCAGAGATTGTCAGTATTCGGAGCATATAATTATATTCTGGCAGGCACTGACGCTTCTCGTTCTTATCCGTCGGCTCGTAAATGATTGTGCTGTGTTCAAGACTTCGCAAATCAAACATTCGTACACTGCCATCGGCGCCGCAGCTTACGAAAACATCGACACTGTTGGCGCAGAACCGAACGTCGTACACCTCCTTGTCGTGGGCAATCAGTTGCGTCTTCGCTGTCAATGTAGGAATATCCCAAATGGTGCACGTTGTGTCAATGCTTGAAGTAATGATCAGACTTGGAGAAATTGTGTTCCAGTCAAGAGAGGTGATGGGAGCAGTGTGCTCGGGGGATTTTGAATTGGACAACAAAGCCAACGGAGAAAGCTTGGAGGTGGCTGGGTCTCGCTGGTTCATGGGACGAGTGATGGAATTCGAGCTTTGGAGAGGCTGAGAATTCGGCAGTGACCATAAGCGAAGGTGGTCTCCTGACGTGGCCAGCAAATCAGTCGATTGCTTCTGGGATGAGGGGGGCTCCCAGAGGATTCGGGTAACCGGGTAAGAATGAGTCGCCTCGGCCGTTTTCACATAGTCTAATTTGATCTCTCCCGCAGCCGCATCTGGGGTATCAGGATCTGGTTGGGACCAGTGTGCATCAAGGATTTGAATCTGTTAACTAGTTAGCATAAAACATATTCGTTCAGAGGGTGGATGCACGTACATAGTTGTGACTGTCTTCTAAATAGCTTCCCATGGCTAGTTTTCCACCAAAGCCCGAGTTGCCTGTGATGGGCCATTTGCACCAATCCACTGCGTATATAGGCCACGGTGCCACGTAATTGCTGTTGGTCGGCACCTGGTTGTCTCCATTATTGTAAGACATCGATGACGTTCCGGGATTCATGAGTGCCTCGCTCAACATGTGTTCACCTGATGGCCTGATATCGGCCAGGCCAAGCGGAGAATACTTGGAGCCTTGTGGGGTGTGAGGCAGAAACGCTCCAGGAGAAGAGGGATATTTGGAGCCATCGGGCGCACCATGTTGTTTGTACATGGATTGGTCGAACCCTGCCGGGCTAGATCGTGAATGCCCATGTGAATTAATCATGCTGGCTCGGTGATTGGGTTGCGACGATGACTGCGACATGGTAGGGACGACTGATGGAGCGGTATTTGCTGATACCGCAGCTGGACGGTTCTGATTCCCTGGCTGCAGGGCTCCGGGGAGAGTGCTGCTGCTGCTGCTATTCCCGTCGCCGCCGTACTGGGAACTCTGGTGTACGTTGATCGAGGGGAGCCGGGCACCTGCGTCCGGTGTGGTGGAATAGTCGTGCGAGGAGGATTGGCGGGACAAGTTTGGATTGATTGGCCCGGTTGATGGAATGTGAAGCTCCTCCGGCTGACGACTGAACACGGCTGACCGCCGGTGAGCGTCGTAGGAGGCGGGATTCGACATGATGTGGTCTAGGCTGAAGAGCAAGAGCGCCGTCTATGCAGGGGATGCCGCGATGGATCTTAGTTGGAGGGTGAGCTCCACTGTTTCTCGATCGAGATTAGTGGAGGAGGCTGGGGGAATGCACCAAATTGGGGATGTAGCGGGCTTCGAGGAAGCTCCAACCAGAGGACCGTGTCAGCCAGGTATCATTCCAGCTTATCAGGTCACTTGGCTCGCAATGGCATCCTCATCTCCATCAGAAAGTGGTAGAGTGGAGGACAGTGGGCGGTGTCATCCCACGAGAATAGCTGACTCAGCCGGGTACCCCAGCATGCGATGGGGATGGATCCGATCACTTCTTCAGGGATTGTGGTTCTGTTTGATTCTGTGATTTATTATTGATGTCTGTTCTGGTGTTGATCTTCTATCTCTTTTCACTTGAGTGTTAACTCTCCAGTGCTCGCTACTGTAGTTATATATTCTTCTCACCATGGGTTCCGATACCAATTCACCCTCGGCTTTACTACTTCTTCCCCCGCCTCCAGCCTTTTCTTTTACCAAAGTCAAAGATGCCTTTGAGCCATCCTTAGTGGATGTTTTCACCAAGCTCTCAAATGCCTTGGCTGGATCCAAGCGTACAGCTCTACTGGATATTGCTTTGGCCATTCCAGATCTTCTTTCCCCGAGCTGCCAACCTCGGGCCAAAGTGTTTGCACAACTCCAACATTATATGACCAGCGTCTATACCCTGGTTGTTGCTGTCTGTGCAACACAAAACATTGAATTGGACTCTCCAGGTGGCATTGATACCCGGGTGGTATTTATCGATGCAAGTGAGAACACCTCAGCCATCCAAGCCTCTGATAGTTCTCGCTTTGGGCCCATTCTGGACATCCAATCACTAGCAAATTCAAGACGTCTTTGGGATTATGTTTTCTACCTGTCCAACACAACCGGCCAAATTTTGGCTAATTCCTTCACCAACAGTGTTGGGAGCCAGTCCCGGGACGGCACGGCGGCAAGCATGCAAGCCATCACAAGCAAGCCTGACTGGGCGATCCCTGCCCGCCTGTTAATTCCTGACGACCAACATCCATCCACTCCACACTATTCGGTGGTTGTTGGTGGCACATTTGATCACCTTCATGTTGGTCACAAACTTCTGCTCACAGCAGTTGCATTGGTCCTAGAACCGCTGGACCGAGAGCACGAAGGCCGCCTGACCATCGGAGTGACCGGGGATGCGCTGTTGGTTAATAAAAAATACGCCGAATTTCTCGAGAGTTGGGAAGCGCGTTGGCAGAGTACTGCGGCTTTTCTGACGGCCATTATGGATTTCTCGCCTGGAAAGAAGTCACCGCAGATTGAACGTGCCTTTGCGCCAGGTCCCAATGGCAAGACTGTCCTTGTAAGGATCCAACCCAACTTGGCATTTGAATTTGTGGAGATCTCTGATCCATTTGGGCCCACGATTACCGAGGAGAACCTTGGAGCAATCGTTGTCTCGAAGGAGACACACTCAGGAGGGGCAGCTGTCAACGAAGAGCGGGTGAAGAAGGGATGGAAAGGTCTGGCCGTATTCGAGGTGGATGTACTCCAGTCTGGAGAAGCAACCACGACCACTGATGTTGAGGGCTTCGAATCCAAAATCAGCAGCACGGATATCAGACGGCGCCGAGTCCATCTCGCAAAGGTCTAATAGGTACACACATAATGATACAGAAGATCCGATAGTTAGTAGATAATCTCTCAAACACTTGTACATACATTAGTTCATCTTGATTTCGGCCATTATCCCCCAGTCATCTTGGGCAGACACATAATCCACACGCATGGTCCATCACTCTGCATGATGTGACGACTTCCCGGCGGGGTCTGCATTGGCCCCCTCCAACACGACTACACGACTCGCTCTCCTTCAACGGCCTTTGCTGCAGGTTCGCGCTGGCTGGCCGCAGAGTCAATCAATCATGTGATTCCCGTGTGGCAGCGTCACCAATGAAACCAAGCGGATCGGGTCAGAAATCCCGGCTTGTCAATGCAAAGGGCGCTAATCAGGCACTTGGTGATCGTCCCCGGTCGCGAAATCAATCGTTAGGGCGAGAGCTCTCGACATATGGTGAGACAAGTCAACTGTCCTAGTGTCTGCAGACGACGAGTCCGAGTATTTGATATCTTTTATTTTATTTTTATTTCTCATTTCCCCTCTTCCCAATTCCCTCCGTGGCTTGTCTCTCCGGTCTTGGACAAAGGTCAAGAGCGTCGATTTTCCCTCAATTCCTCCATATTTCCATGTTGCTGCTACTTCGTCAAGCAGCCGATGCTTCGGCTGCGCGCGCTGATCATGGCTCAGCCAACTCATATTCACGATCTTGCTGACGAGCTACTCAGCGACATCTTGTCCTTTCTTCTCGAACCCACACCCCGAGCCCTAAATGGCAGATTCAGTGGAAATGGACATACTTCCAGGCCTAGCGACCATGAACATGAAGCGTCCGATCTTGATCACTTTCGACTCGTCTGCAAGCGATTCATGCGAATCGCCACCCCTTACAAGTTTAGTCGATTTACTCTACGGTTTTCTGATCACGGCTTCCGGCGATTAGATGAACTGGTAGACATGCAGCTGGCTTACTATGTGAAAACCATCACATACATGGTGCGACCATTTTATCAAGGAAGCGGTACCAGCTCTTCAATCTCTCATACACAAGCGAGCAAATTAACTAATAATAAATTACAGGATGGGCCCGGACACTACGAACTTTGGGGTCAGAAAACCCCGAACTATCCGAACTACACAGCCGCCGACTGCGTGAACAAACCAATTTAACTGAAACCAACAATGATCAAACCCGCCTCCGCCGTGCAATCACATCGTTTTCCGCTCTGCAGGAAATAAAGCTCCTTAGGCTCCAAGACGAAGCAGACGAGTATCTCATCGACTTTATACGCGACCACTCACTGGGAACCGGCACCAGCACTGCAACAGGCATCCGCTTCGATTGGGAGACCGCCTGCTCGCGCGCCGTAACAAACCTCAGCATCGCTCTCCTCGACTCAAAATGCAGCTCCATCCGCTTCACAGGTCCCCAGATCAGCCCTGAAGCAACCCTCCAGCTCCTCCGCGCCCCGTCAACAACCCTCGCCGCCATGGGCGGGCGCCTTACAAGCCTCGACATAAACTTCTACTCAACAACCGACATCACCACAACCATGGCCGACCTCTCAGAAGTTTTCCACCGCTTTTTTGTCGCAGCCAAAAACCTCATCGCCATCCACATCGGTTTCCTCAGCAAAACACCCCTGGACCTTGACCTCGAGCTACTCTTCCACCACATCCGCTGGAAAACCCTCCGTAAACTCAGCATCCAAGGCTGGCGTCTGGGCGCAAACGAGATCATCGCACTGGCCCGCCGCCACAGTCCCTATCTACGCGATTTCCGCCTACTCAGCGTCTATCTTCGGCCTGGCGGCTTATGGTGCGATGTTCTTGCTGTCCTGCGCGAGGAAATGGAGCAGCTGGAGCGGCTGATTCTGAAGGATATTGACTACGCTGCACACTTTGATTCCCTTGCTATCTCGAACGGTGTCGAGGTCTTTGATGATTACCCTGCTGGCCCTGTGCCATCTTCTCTTACCGTTGCGGCTGGTACCTCCTCGGGTGTTCAGTCGCCGGTTGCTACCCCGCTCTCGCCTGACGGCCTCCCTAATTTGGTGAGGGGGAGGTGCTTGCCGTTGAGGAGGACTTCGCTTGAGAGACTGCGTGCTTTGTCTAGTGAAGACTTGGGGGATGACGGCGTGCATGTCTTGCGTGAACAGATGCCTCTTTGGGAGGCGTGGGTTCTTTCTGCTCCACATCAAGTTAAAAGGAATGGTCGGTCTCATTGGAGTATGTGAGGGAGGTAGACCTAGAGCTCTGGAGAGAAGGGAGAGGTAGAGAGGTGTTCAAAACGTTCTGATTACTATTTGCTTTTTGGAGTTGGGGGCTGTTTGAATTACCTTTCTGATGATTTGCATGCGTTAGAGCCGTTTGATTATATATTTGGCTATAATTATATTCCAATATTATTTCTGAGACACAGAGTTTCTAGTAAAATGTACTGCATTGAAATTGGTCAAAAGAATAAGGATATGCAAGGATGCAATCTTAGGATATCGTTAAACGCAAGCGTGTTAAAGGATAACCAACTCTCCAGCAATTATTTTCAAACCCCCCTATTCATAACATTGGGTCCAGTCGCCTCCAGCGCGTGCATAAGAGAGCCCCTTCACGAAATCACTACGACGACAACGGCCAAGTTTATCCGCCTTGCAGCCGTGCAGCGGAACAACACGGTCATTAACGAGGACTCGCACGAGCGGCTCCGGCTCCTTGCGACATTGCATCATCTCGATATAAGCACGAGCACCGAAGCTAACCGTCTTGGCAGATGAATATCCGTCCGCTCCCTTGGGAGTCTGGAGATGGTCAATTGGAAGTGGAGCGGTGCCGTTGTACAGCCCCATAGCAAAGTAGATCGGAAGCATTCCGTTATCGTGCGAGAAGTCTGCGTACATGTTGTAGTTGAGGGGGAATGTCGAGGCACCGGGGGCGTCAAGCGTGGAGTTTGTGCTGGTGTGGTCGTTCACTGGGGTTTTGGTGAGTCGGGCGATCAGTTCGTTCACGAAACCGACACCCTGGGTTGGGCCAAGGGGGTTGCCTGCGCCATAACCGTAGTACTTGCTCACTGACTGGAGGTAGTCATATTGGTTCCATTCGGCTTGGGTGAAGAGGTCGCAGAATGGAGACAGCTCGGACGCATCCTCGGTCAGGGACACTGTCTCGAAAGGACAAAGGTCCATCATACTAACCACATCGACGTCTGTGAATTTAACGCCAGGAAGATCAGCCTCGAGACGCGCTTTGATGGGTGGTACAAAGACTGCTGTGTATTTATCCTCGACCTCGTCGCCCAGTACGTTGTCCTCGAACTTGGGACAGGTATTGTGGTTCAGAGTGTTGTTGGCGCCAACTTCTTCTGAGATGAGAACACTGATCTTCGGGGCGGGTTGCTCGTGGTCGGCTTTTTTGTCCTGCAACTTTGCCTGCTTGAAGCCTTCAATGAACTTCTCTCCCGAAGCGATAACCCGCTCCGACTCAGCTGAGCGAATGAAGGGCACGGCTTTCTTAGCCAACGCCTGGTAGCGCTGGTAGAACTTGATTCCCGAGTTCAACAATTGGTTCTCTCCAAAGGGTACCAAATCATCACTTCCCATGGTGTATTCGTATGAGCTGAGGAATTTGGTCTTGCCGTTGTATGCAGTCGCGTTCGCATGGATGGCGTTCAGGAGCTTGGCATATGCCTTGCTCTTATTCGCCGATGGGAATCGAGCACCATGACGGGAGATCACTTGGGCAAAGGTGATCTCACAGCCTTTGGGTACCGCCTCATCTGAAACGGGCGATTCGTCCGCAACAGAGAAATAGGGCGAATACTGGCCCCACTTGTGCGTGAGCTCAGAGTTGCATTGATAACCGTTTTCGACAGTATTGCAAGCATCCTTGTTGTTATTTCCGTGACGCGACGATCTCTTCGACTTGTCGTCAAGAGTGGAAGTCACAGATAGGTCAGACTGGGTAGTATGTGAGGGGGTGTTACACTGGATTCCAGGCACGGAGTACATAGCGAGGGCGAAAAGTCCTAGCACCGACATGGCGGTCAATGCAATCCATTTTCTAGATTTCTGGCTTTGCCTCCGACCTTGATATTGCTCTCCTTCAAGCAGGCCTTCTTCTTCCCCGTGCTGTTGTTTGGAGAACACTGCCATTGAGCTGGGTGAATGAGTAGATGATATCACGGCTTGAAGTGTGTGAAACCTGCAAGGATAGAGAATGCAAAAATGGAGGGGAAATCAGTCCATTTTTAAATGTTGACCTGACTGTGAAGCGTTTGGGTTAACCCTTGTGGGATATATGCTCGTAAGCGTTTTGGTTGCGGTGATTCGCTGATTGGTTGTCGTTGCTCGAAGCGGGAAACACGTGGGAGATGTCCTACCCGTGACTCGGCACGAGACTTCACAGTACCTGAAACTAGTCCGTGTTAATATGCAAGTGGATGTTACTAGAGGTACCTTATGTATATTAGCCCAACGCGAGGTTTGACGTATAGTGATTTCTGAGGTTATTCCCTACTCCTCGCCGTACAAGAACAATTTTATCTACATCTTCCTCAAATCATATCAATCTACGGAGCATTTTCTGTTTTTTTTTTCCAATCAGATTGGCCATGTCTTACCTCGCTTCCCCGGGCTATGAATAGAGTTTGGTGGCTCTCGCATAAGCAGCGAGGCTAATAGAACACGCCAGTCTATTTCTTTGGCAACCTGGATATTACGGGATCTCATTTCCGATATAGAAAAGTAGAGAAATATCTATACGGAAGCTAGGGTGAAGATATGTGCATCTTTCTGGTTATGTATAGAAAGGTCGTTCGTACGGTTCATGTACATCTAAAATACATATAAAATTTACGAAAATATATATATCTATACAAGAGAGTATCTAAAATCAACTTCCATAAACATCGGAGTGTCCTTAAATCTAGCATCCGCAATGTCATCTTAGGTCAAATGAGTCGGATATATAGACTCCTATTTCGTCAAGGACCGACGCCGCATCAGCGGCCGACTGTTCAGAATACAAGAGCTATAACAACT